ACGGGCTGCAGCATTTCCAGATTGGCTGCTTTCCCTTGGTGACATGTGTTTAAGGTCCCTCCGTAGCGCTTCAGGGATCAGCATCCAGTTCTGCTTAATGTGAAGTCACCTACTATGCCCAAGAGTTTCTCCAAGCCCCTCCTGGAGGCATACAAAAGACTTCTGCCTCCTCTCAATCCCTCAAGTTCATCATGGCAGGCTTTGAGTCAGGGCCTCAGAGGCTGTGATAACTCTCACTCGGCTTGCCACCAACTAGTGTTAAGAGACATTGTCACCTGTAGGCCTTCCCTGTTTGGGGCAGTTGACAGACAGATGGCAGTGACCCTCTAGTACTCAGGTGCCATGCCTGGGTGCCTGCCACATGCAGTCAGATGTGAAGGCCTGTCAGCCTGGAGGAAATCTTGGAGGACTTTCTGGAGGCAGGGGCACAGGAGTTTGCTCTTAAGGAGGTGGTGGAGACTGAAAGGCCTTCAGCATAGGCTCCAAGGAGCCTGCGTTCAGGAATGACAAGAAAGCTCAGAAGAAACCACTAGCTGTGACCCTGTAAAGTAGAGCTGTGGGTGGCAGGGGACACTGGAAATTGGCAGGCACTGAAAAGTGAGCATAGATGCCTAGAAATGAATCTGGCATCTGATGAAGCCGTCAGCTGCCCTTCTGGAAGATGCAGTGGGTGCTTCACCTCGGACCAAGTAGCCCGTGGGTCCCATTCCTGCACCCTGTTGATCCCAGGCCCTAGAACAGCCTCCTGGGAGCAGCCTTCAGTCCTGTGAAGCCCCTTCCTCCCAAATAAGGCCCTGGTGGAGCAGAATGTGGGTTTCCAGGTCTTTTGTGATGTCTTCTCTCCCAAATGCAGCCCAGAGAGTAGCCCTCTGATGGGACAGACGTAGTCAGGTCCCAGGCATGTCCCCAGCTAAAGTCACCAGGATAAGCAACTATGGCATGATTTGGACTCAACAAAAACATTAAAAAAATAAAAAATCCTGGGTCCCCTGGATCATAGGCCCTCGTATGGCCTCAGGATTGCACTGTGCAGGCAGGCTCCCCTGCCCCCCTCCTGATTGGTGTTTCCAAGCCTTGGCATGACTGGCCTTGGCTCATTTAGCCGCTTTTGGCCTCAAGTTCCTCGCTGTGAGGTAAGCACCATGCTGGCTTCACAGGGATGTCAGGAGGGCTGAGCAGATGCCTTTGCACCCCGTAGGTCTGAAGCTAAGCAGGATGTTGAAAAGAAGGCAGCGAGTTACACTGCTGTGTTCCCTGGTGACTTACTTCACAGTGTCTGGAGCCAGGGAAGGGGGAATCTGTGCCCCGCCCAGCCCAAGCCAAGCAAGGAGAACAGGAGATGTCTGCCTCAGAGGCGCCTGGGTCTTTGTCGGCTTTGTTTGGGTAATTTATTAGTTGGAAAGATTGCTTTTTCTTAACAGTTGTGTGCCCCTGCCTGCCAGACTGTCTTTGACCTTCAAGGACAGCTTGTTCAGCCTTGCTTTGGGCATTTCTATATTTGGAGTGGTTTTAGGGAAGCGGGGTCACTGGATGAACCACACCAAACCCCCGAATACTGAGTACTCCTCCTCTGCCAGCATTCAGCTCCCTGTCCCCCCCCCCCCCCACCTCCACCCATAGATGCCCAATGCAGCGTAGGACAGTTGGGGACTCTGCTTAGCCGACGCCCTCCTGCCTGTCTGACTCTGTCTTGTCTCAGAATCTCAAGTAGCTGGAGATGGCATGATTCCGCCTGCTGCTGTGAGAAGCACAGTCCCCTCTGGGAATCTCTGAAAGGAAAGGGCGAAAAGAAGCAAGCAGGTTGGGCAGGCTTGCTATTACCTCTCCGTGGGTACACTTGGCCTTGCTATCCCAGAAACGCCTCAGACTCTAGGACTGAATCCCACTAGGGGCAAAAGGTGCACATGTTAAATCTGCAATCAGTTTACCAGCCTAGAGGGAAGCAAGCAGGGTTTTCCTGGCATGCCTCTCTTGGGAGGCCCATTTATGGCTCAGCTCTTCCTCTGACCACCAGAGGGCAGCACCACTACCAGACCCACAGCTCCAGGCAGCTCTAGTGGGCAGAGTGGGATCTGGCCAGCAAATCCACACTCTTAATATAGCTCTTCCCTCAAACCAGATGCATTTCCAGTAACTTGGGAACTGGTGCTGGGGATGAAACTCAGGGCCTTTGCATGCTAGGCAAGTGCTGTGCTGCCCGGCTACACCCAGCCCCCCCCATATTCCTGAAACGGAGGTGGTCACTGTTGTGGAACTCTTCAGGGTTTGCTGGGCTGGTTGCTAAGCAAATCCTTTTGCCCTTGATCCTGGTTTCCCCCAGGACCAGGGGATGTGAGCAGAGGGTGGGTGGATGGAAAGGACAGATGGAAGGACAGATCGAAGTCAGAGGGTGGGTGGATATGCAGGACAGATGGAAAGGCAGATAGAAGGCGGTGGTGGGGGGTGGAGTGGGGTGGACAGGAACTCTTTCAAAGTCACAACCCCACAAGAGGCAGCGCTGAGACTGTATCCCAAGCCAGCTCACCCCACAGCCCACAGGACCCCCAAATCTGAAAATGACTTCTTGTTCACTCTGGCCTTGAGCCAGATTCGGGCCATATAATCTCTGCCTTGTCTGACCAGGAGAAGATGCTGTCCATTGTCCTTTGTATCCCAAACTGAGTGAACACAAAAGTTCTGGAGAGCCACCCCACCCTGTATCTCTGAGCCACACAGGACCAGAGTGACTCACAAGGACGTCACCTACAAAGACCCCCCTGTGGCCCAGCCATGCACAGCTGTGAGCACTGACTGACTCCAGTTCAGCTTCTTATCCATAGCTGAAAGGCCTGGCCACACTGAGGCTCTCAAGGTCCAGCTGAGCCAGAGGCTCTGGCTCTCTGGCCCCCCACCAGCATTCTACAGTATGGACGGGCATTTCTGGTCCAGTTCAGTAGTGAAGGGACCCTAGGGGGCAAGTGTGACAGAGTCCCACCGCGGTCAGGTCAAGGTGCTGGGAGGTTGTGGGGATAAAGAGAGACTGGCTACATGTGACAGCAAGGGCTGTGGACTGCATCACGCTGCTGCTGGGGGGCCACCACTGTCACTGTGGTGACATCAGAGTGGCATAGGTCACAGAGGGGGGAAAAGCCCTGTGGAAAAGGAAAGAGGAAGAGAATCCCATGGAGGCTATCAGCCTGGGTAAGCTGAAGCGCCAACTGGAGGCAGATGTTTGAGTGACAGGTTAGAGGCAGTTTTATCTCTCTGGCTGGTCCTAGGCGGGAGGCAGAGGCAAAGGTCAGGCAGCAGCTGTGGGTGAGCAATCACGTTTTGGCCTTGTTGGATCGTGCTGCAAAGGTGTGGTTTAGCTCCCAGGCTGTTCCTGGAGATAACACCTGCCTTCTGCACAGCTGGCTGGGCCACAGGGTTGTGTGGTGGATGGAGCGGGGTTCTCTGGCCTGTGGCTGTAGGCTGTGGGTCCCCACCTTGCATCCCCAGTCCCTGGGCATAGCTGTGTATTTATTCTCAGCACGATGGTTCACACAGTAGTTGGCTGAGATTACTCTCGTGGGCTGCAGTTGCTAGTGGTAGGTCCTGCCCACTACGGGGGGGGGGGGGCAGATGGCCAGCGTGCTCCACTCTGCCCCTCCATCACTACCACTGTGTGTGTGTGTGTGTGTGTGTGTGTGTGTGTGTGTGTGTGTGTGTGTGTGTCCTGTGGCTGCAGTGATGAAGGGGAGCAGCACTGGATGACCGAGACCGAGCAGGTTGTGCTTGGCTGGAGTTAAGACTATGGCTGTTCCTTCTGTAGCTGCGGATGGAACCCTCCCCTCCCCTTTGCTGGCTTCTGGAGATGCCAGCTCTCATGGCTCATGGTCTTTCCTTGTTGAGACTAGCTATATTGTGCCTCTCTGACCTCTCTCTTAATCATGTCTCCATTGACTACCCAGGAAATGTCCTTGGATGACAGGGGCCATGCTGGACAGCCAATGACCTCTCCTTTGCCTCTACAACCCTTGTCTGTGCTTAGGGGAGTCTAAGTCCCACATATGGCCATAATGTCCTAATATACATCTGGGTACATTGCTGGAGTGGCAGAGTCTGTGCATCAGCTGAGTGTGTGGCCTCTCTAGATGACAAGGGCCTGGTAGTCCCTTCCCTCTGGCCGCAGACCCACATGATTCCTGTATGGTGGCCTGGGACCTGGGACCCTTTAGTTCCTCCAGTAAACCCATTTTTGCTTCAGCCTAAAAACTTCAGAGTCTCCTGGATGCTTCCCTGCTACAGGGCTGTTGAGGGGCAGACCCCAGGCTTCCATACCATGACCCAGCATGCCATGTGCTGGCATCTGCAGGTGCTTTAGTAGACCATGGGGTCATGCCTGGTGCATGGTCATGCCTGGTTATGAGACCACAACCCTGACTCTTGAACTTGTGGTCTCCAATGCCTCTTTCAATTGCCTGCTTGGCTGTGGGTGATTCTTGGGGGTCACTTGCCATGTTTAGTCTGGTGTTTTGGGACCCAAAGGAGATATGGAACCAGCTCTCAGAAGGCTGTAGCTGAAGAAGAGTCTGAGGGTCCCAGGGCTGCAGGACCACTGAGCTTTCTGGAAATGATGTCCCTATGAGATTCTGGGTGGTAACGTTGCATTGGATGGATGCAACAAGGGTTAATTGCTCTTTAAGAGCAATTAAGAGGGACAATGGTGGCCTTGCTACTTCAGCAGTGTACAGAGATGTGTTGGGACATCATAGGTAAGTGTGCAGAGGATACGGATAAGACAGCTGAGTAGAGCAGCCACAAACAGAGCCCATAATGGCTTTACCAAATGGTCTTGGCCCTCAGAACTGTCACCGGTCATACCACCTGAGTGTTACTTAACCCCAGAGGGAAGGAGGAGATGGCCCATCACCTCATGCTGTGTGGGACCAGTGCTGTGGGTGGGGTCGTGCTGGGAGGCCTCCTGCTTGCTCTCCCTGTGCCGAGTGTCCCTCACTTTAACCTGGCTCCTTTCTCCCCAGTGTCAGAGCCCCAGGCTGCTCATGCTCCCCTGGAGAAGCCAGCTAGCACTGCGATCCTGTGCAGTACCTGTGGGAATGTGTGCAAGGGTGAGGTGCTGCGTGTGCAGAACAAGTACTTCCACATCAGGTGCTTCGTGTGCAAAGGTGAGTGTGTACTTGGCCTTGTGCTTGACCACAGAGTGTCCCGGACTGTGCTTCCTAGTCACCCTTCTTACTCTTTGTGGGTCTAGAAAGCTCTCTGGTCACACCTGAGTGTCTGCAGAGTTCTGAGTCTCTGTCTTTCCAGAATACCATCCGGTGTGACAAAGGAATCCTCTTAGGGAGATAGGGAGACTCTGGGTTCGCAGCGGCAGATGCATGCGTCTAGCCCAGAATCAGCGATGCCAATCCTGGAGCCACAGGGGCATAGCACAGAGTCTGAGTGGCCTTTGCTGGCTATGCAAATCAGTAGCCAGAGGTGTTCTGGGGACTTGGTGCACTAGATGCTGCATCTCTCCTGCAGTGGCCCTGAAAACATTCTAAATGAAAGTCATTCGTTTTCCTTTGCTTATAAAAAGTAGCCTAAAAAAAACCCCACGGGAATCTTAAATAATACCAAGAAGATAACAAGAGGGCCTGAAGCTATGTATGCAGCCTCTCCAGTAGATGTGGCTGTGTGTGCAGCCTCTCCAGTGAACATGGCTGGGTTTGGAGCCTTCTCCTCCTCTGCCCTGAATCCTATGTGTATGCTGGGGACAAAGCACACCTCCATCCAACAGCCCAGAAATGTGAAAAAAAGTACTCATAGGTAGGACCCACCCACTGGACATGGTGTGTAGACTCATAGAGCCATCAGTGTTAAAGGGATAATGTTTTGGAGCCCACAGATGCTTCTCTGCAGTGTGGGCAAGCCTTCTGCACATGCCCCCTGGCTTGACAGTGGTGTTCTCCCAGGCTGTCTGGAGATTGGCACTGCCTTCACCACGGTGACCCTCAGTGAGGGGAGGGAATGTTAAGTTTATTGTTTGGGTAAAAAGAGTAGGAGCCAAATCCTTGGGACATGGAGGTCCATAGGGAGGGTCCAAGGCTTCTAGAAAGAAGTCCACAGAGGAGGTACATTTGGCCGTAATTTGAAGATAGAAATTCACCAGGCAAGAACAAGGCTGCCTTAGATGGGAAATGACCCTACCAAGTCAGCTCTGTGTGTGTGTGTGTGTGTGTGTGTGTGTGTGTGTGTGTGTGTGTGTGTGTGTGGTGGGGGGCTGGTGACTGGCTTCAGAGAGGGGAGGTGGAGCTAGGAGCTTCAAGGGGGGTTGATTCCAGGTCCTTCTGTGGCCCCTGAACCTCTAGAGGCTCCTGGCTTCTGTTTGTGGAACTCTGTCCCCTCCACTCTGGTCCTCGGGCTCAGCTACAGTGTGTAAAGTCTTGGTGTTTGAAAAGAGAATTTTCTGCAGAAGGGGCTACCCCAAAACACTCCTGGTGCTGTCAGCTCTGGATGGTCAGCCTCCACAGGAGAAACATGGCCTGTGGGCTGTGGGGTAGTGACAGGGACAGCCTGAGGTAGCTCTTTTTTTTAAAGATTTATTTATTTATTATGCACACAGAAGAGGGTGCCAGATTTCATTATAGGTGATTGTGAGCCACCATGTGGGTGCTGGGAATTGAACTCAGGACCTCTGGGAGAGCAGTCAGTGCTCTTAACCTCCTAGCCATCTCTCCAGCCTCTGAGCTAGCTCTTACTGGGTCTCATTTGGGGACCCTGAGCGATCTGCCTTCAGCTGAAACAGACACCAGCCTTTAGAGGCCTTATCCTAGGGCATGAGCAGCTGGCTCTCAGTGATGTCCCCAGAGCCACCAGGATTGAGGGGGGCCCTAGGCATCCCAGTCACTTTGGCCCTGATGCATTCTCACAAGGACACCCTATCTTTCCAGACTCTCCCCACACATGAGAAAAGAGCCAGAATCCTCTGTGATAGCCATCCCAGGGTGGTGACGGGGCTGCTTGAGAAAAAAAAGATGACCTGGGCACCTCATTCCCAACATAACCAGGAAAACCTGTGCCTTAGGCTCCACAGAGTGGGCATGAGTTGGGAGTTGGAGGGCCAGCCTATTCCATCATCTCATACAGCTCCAAACCACCCGTCCCCAGAGGAAAGGCCACTTCAGCTCTGGGGGACTTTCCTACAGAGAACAGCAGCACTCTCTGCAGCCTGGACGCAGAACCCTAGAACCGACAGAAAACACTAGGTGTGGGTGCGCATGTGCTTAACCAGGTGCTGGTGGGTGGGCAGAGATAGGAGGATCTCTGAAGTTCACTAGGTAGCCAGCACAGCTGAATCTGAGAGACCCTGTCTCAAAAACAAATGTGGAGGGTGACTGAGGAAGACATCTGGCCTTGTCCTCCAGCCTCCATATATACACAAGAACACATACAAATTACACACACACACACACACACACACACACACACACACACACACACACAAGAAAGAATTCCAAGAAGTGACCCTAACCCTGCCTTCTCATCTGCTACTGCCAACCCTTGTCTCCCCCAAAGATGAGCACCTCCCCACACCCTCCAGGCCTCTGCTAACTTGATCCTTTTCAAACCGTAATGTGATAGAGGCACATTGTCTCGATGAGGGACTTGAGTTACTGGTGAACTTGGACTTTTTATTTTTAGGAGCAGAGGTCTGGGATGTCACTGCCTTGGGGTGACCTTGGGATCCTCAAAGCAGCCAGAAACCAGCAGGCAGCTGAGGCAATGGGGCCAGGAGCTGGGGGAGTCTCTCAGGGTGTGGGGCACGGCTGTCTGGGTCCCTTTCCCTGTGTCACAGGGTGGCTCACTCGATTCTATGTCTCTGCCCCCCTGCACACATTCGTCCTTTAAGGATTGACCACTGTTGTCACAGCTGGGGCAAGCAGACACAACCCAGAGTCAGTATCCTGAGTACTTGTGACTGTCTTGTCTCCAAAGCACTGTAGTGTAATCCTGTGCGTATCTGTCAGCCCATAGCCTGTTCTTGCAGAAGAACATTTGTTTGATCTATAGTGGGACAAGATTAAACCTTGGGTTTCATTCCCAGACTGGGTGTGGAGAAGGAATCCAGCATGGCTCCAGGCTGGCGTCTAACCTTTGGTGGAAGTGATGGCAGCCGCAGTCATAGGCTGAGGAATGTCACGGTCTAGCTTTGACCGTGACATTCCTCTGTGCATGTACATGACACATACAAAAAAGGCCCCTCTCATTTTGGAACCAGCAGCCATATCTCTGCAAACAGCATTGTTTTGGAAACTTCTGGACTGTTCCATCTGAGGCACTGAATGGCTCACTCGCCTGTGCTTCTGGGGCTGGAGAGTATGAGGGAGGAGCACACTATGTCCCCAGAAGTTGACTTGGGGCCTGCCAGCTGTTGGTGACCAGCAGTCCCAGAGTGGATACTTCAGGCCACAGCCTGCAAGTCCTCTGCTCCTCCACCGCGCTCAGCAGTCTCCGCTCCCTGGAGCTGTGTGTTAGGAGAAGGGTCACAGTGAGCCCGTGGGTTCTCCTTCTGCTCTGGGTCTGGCCTTGTCGTACTACAGGGGTCGGGGGGTTGAGAACTGTGGGAACCAGATGAAAGAGGGAGCCCTGGGAAGTTTCTCTGTGGACTAGGGGACCACGTATGGTTCACTTGTCCTCTACTGGACCTTCAGCCCAGAGCAGAGCAGAGAGTGTAAAGCTGTGCAGTCCTGTAGTCTCTCTCTCTCTCTCTGTCTCTCTGTCTGTCTGTCTCTCTCTCTCTCTCTCTCTCTTACACACACACACACACACACACACACACACACACACACACACACACACCTACCTGCTCACCTGTTCATCCAGCACTAGAATGGCTTGAAGGGCCTCACAGGTTCTCAGAAGCCGAAGAGCCTCAATGCCCCTTTCTGGAAGCTTCCACAAGAAAAATACATGACTCTAGGCTAGCAGGGAAGCTCGTGTCTGTCCCTGGAGCCCCAAACTGGGTACCCCCAGGCCCTTGTATTTGTAGGGACTTGTATCAGGTGGGCTGGGGTCAGATCTGCTGGCCCTGAGGCGTGAGTTGGACAGTCCCCTAACCCGGCATTTGATCTTCCCCCCAGCGTGTGGCTGTGACCTGGCTGAGGGCGGCTTCTTCGTCCGACAGGGTGAACACATCTGCACACGTGACTACCAGCGGCTCTATGGCACTCGCTGCTTCAGCTGTGACCGCTTCATTGAAGGGGAAGTGGTGTCAGCACTTGGCAAGACCTACCACCCTGACTGCTTCGTGTGTGCTGTCTGCAGGTGGGTGCCCAGCCTCTGCCCTGCTGGCCTCTGCCCCCTCCTCCTTGCCCATCTACCCTCAGCCCTGGTTCCACTCCCACCCAATAGGTCCCTTCTCCCTCCTTCCTTCCCTCTCTCCCTCTGTCCGGTCTCTTTGCATCCTGACCCATCCTGGTTCACAGATGTGCCTGCCCAACACCATGGTACAATCTTATCACAGGTGGCAGGGAGAGGGTGGGGACTGGGAGGTCTGACTCTGGTCCCTGGTGCCTGGCATAGAGCAAGTGAGCTCCCAATGAAAAGTCTGGATGCCACCCTGGCAGCAAGGCCTTATGGTCACCTATGCCTTCTGACCAATGGCTGCCTTCCTGGGGTCCCTGTGCATCCCTCCCCTGCCCTCAGAAAAGGCCCCTGGCCAGCAAACACAGGCCACAGTGAAGAGCAGAGTGTGCTTAGTTAGTTCCCAGTGTCATGGTGTCCAGCTTGTGTGGTATTTCCTACATCCTTTCCAAGCAGCCGTCTATGGTCACAGCATGTACCCAAGGCCAGAATAGAGCCTTTGACCAGGAGACATCAAGGGGAGGAAGCTTGGTGGGGGACATTTCCCGTGGAAGAGTTGCTATGTGCTCTCTAGTGTGGCTGGGTCAGAGGTCTCCAGAAATACCTTCATGATTTCCATGTGGCATCCTTAAGAGGTGGGTCCAGCCAGCAGCTGGCCCGAGGGCCCACCTTGGGCAACCTACCGAAGTACAAGTGACAACAGACAGACCTGTCCAGGTTGTAGGATGGGGTGGAGCTCTGCCACTACACACAGCCAGACTAGACACTGCACACAGTTGGCCTCCGGCAAGCACACACTGGAACTGGGGCCCAGGTTCAGGTGCAGCAAAGCACAGGCCATACTCCTGCTTCCTGCTGGAGGCTGACTCTGAGGGGCCGTGGAGAACAGTGTGAGATATTTCCTGGCCAGGGTGAAATGATGAATGGAAAGGTAGTACTGGCAGGATGTGTGAGACAAGGGGAGAGGATGGGCACTGTGAGTCTCGGGCCAAACACCTAGCCATGTCACCCTCAAGAGGCCTTCACTCCATGGCAACAAACGCCCAAGTGAAATGCTTTAAAAGGATGAGCCCTGCCCCACCCAACATGGTTTTAGAAGACCCTGCCCACACCAGATGGGTGCACAATGTTGCTGGTGCTGCCCACATTCTAGATGGGTTTCCTTTCTAGAAGCACTCTCAGATAGACCCAGAGGTAATGGCATGGTTGCCAGATGTTTCTCAATCCAGTCAAGCTGACAGTCAGCGTGAGCCATCAGTGGGGTGAGGTCCCCAGGCTGCTGTGAGTGCACGGTTCCCAGGGGACACTGAGTTCCAAGCACAGTGGCTGGTCATTGCTGGCCACTGCAGGGGTGAGCCTTAGCTCTGGAGCAGAGGCTGCTCTGCACTCCCTCTGCAGGTGAAGAGTGAACCTCCTTGAGATGTCCCTGGAGACTGGCAGTCTACTGAGTCCACCCTCCTTCCAGGAAGGTGTGAGAACCCTGCATCCAACTGCATAAAGCCTCCGACATGCAGTATTTCCTCAGAAGTGCAGGCCCCAGATGAGACGACAGCACAGACATGAAGAGAGCTTAGTGGAGACCACCAGGGTTGACATCAGCAGACACAGCCGTGGGGACAGGCATGTCCACTCTGTCGCTGTTTAAAGGAGACCCTGTCCAGAAGTGGGGGAGCTATGAAGGTACAGAAAGAAACCACTGGCCATCTAGAATCCAGACATGCAGCTCCTGAAGCGATCAGGCACAAGCAAGAAATGAGGGGAGAAGAAAATGGCAGTAGACGCTTCCACACTGGCACGCAGGGGTGGGGATGCAGAGCCACTGTCGGCCTCTCCATTGGTCTGTCTGTCTGTCTGCCTGCCTGCCTGCCTGCCTGCTTGTGTGGATAAGGAAGACAAAAACCAATCCTTTTGAAATAATGGGTGAAAATTGTCTAGATTTTATGAACTCTAGAAGCCTACAGCCCCCAAATCTCAGTGACCCTGAAAGGGGAGTGCGCAGGTATTCACAGTCAACCCTGTGTCCCACCCCATTGAGAACTCACTGATGTGTTCTCAGCCACACTGCTAAAGATTTGCAAAAACAAACAAAAAATATATAAAAACATCAGGAAAAATACAACTAACAAAACAGACCTCCCTCCCCCCCCCCAAAAAAAAAAACCCCAAAAACACAATACTGTGTCTGTGGAGGAGCATGGATGAGCTCAGACCTCCACCAGGAGCTATGCATGCTGGGAAACAGTAAGAAGACGTCTGTAAGCACCAAAAGGAAAATAAAATCCACCAAACAGTGCTGTACTTAGTAAAAATTCTTCTGAAAAAGGCCCAAGGCTCAGCTCAAGGCCGCTCTGCAGGATGATTAACCTGACCCAGAGTTGACCTCGTTGATGAAAATAGCATTAAAATGGTGATTGAAATGTTCTGAAATCGATCATGGTGATGGTTTCACAACTCTGGATATGCTACCTTCACTGGGTTATACATTAAGGCATGAGAATCGTGAGCATCAATAAACAGGCACCATAAAAGAGACGAAGACAAAATCTTCATCGGACACCCAAGAGCTGAGTGACTTTGGCCCCAGCAGGCCTGTGCTGTGACAGAGTGATGGTTTCTCAGGCTGGAGAGAAGTAATGTTGAAAGATATCAACAGAATCTCAAAGCAGCCGGACATGCGATCCCAGCTCTGAGGAGCTTGAGACAGGAGGCTAGCCTCGGCTACAGACTGAAGTTCTGTGTCAGAACAGACAAAAACATAAAATCTAAAGCAGAAGGAGGTAAACCTTTCCTCTTAAGATGTTTCTCATCGGGCATTTTGTCATAGCAACAAGGAAGTAACCAATACTGACCAGCTATGTAGAGAACTACGATCCAAACACCCAACATGAGCCCGCCCACATGAGCTCCAACATGAGCAAAAGGGTTGAAGAGATGCTTCACCACAGAACATACAAAATGATCAAAAGACACAGAAAACACTCTTACATTTACACCATCAGCTACTGGAGACATCCCCCAAAACAATTGTGAAATGCCAGCTGTACCTGCTGGCACAGATACAACATACGGTGGGTAATAGCAAGGGCTATTCTAGCAAGGCCACGAAGCAAGGAGACATGAAATGATACAGTTTCCTTGGAGACAGAATCACATAGTAGGTGACCAAGAATTCCACTTTGGGAAAGGAAGTCCCATGATGCAGGTGTCATTAATTCCAAGTGTGAACGACCCAGATGGATGCCTTTTTAACAGAATCAATGGAGTAATACTCAGCCCTGAAAAAGAACAAACTGATGACATGAGGAGCAGCAACGTGGGCAGGTCATGGCAGTGTGGTACTGAACAAAACACTCACTCACAGGACTCTGTTGTCTGGGATATGGGAAGTGGGGCAGTGGAGAGAGCCACAGGGACATTTTGCACTGGCCGGGTGTTCCATGGCGCAACGGCACTGATTATACTGAGTGCATTTTCTAGACTGTGTCTCCATTAAGTCATGTGAGCTTGTAGGGGAATGGCCACTGGGCATTCACAGCCCTGGAGTCTAGGCTAGCATGTTCCACAAGGGATGTCTGAACGGATGGCAAGCCAGTGATGCATGTCGCTAGTCTTCTCTGGCAGGTGAGAAGCAGGAACACAGAGGGGCTGGCTGAGTAATGTATTCCAAGTTGCACAGCTGGAGTATGACTCCGCATTTTAGAGACCGTCAGGGACCCCCACTCCATCCTAAAGTTCCCCTTGCCTGGGGAGATGCACTGCGTTAAGACATGGTAGCTTTCAGACCACAGCACTGGCAGGCAGCAAGTGCAGGCGTCCATGAGCTGCAGGGGACGCGGGTCAGCCAAGGGCCAAGAAAGGTTGCAGGACCAGCCAATAAGCCTGGGACCTGGGACCAGTCTAGTCTCTGTAGATTCTTTATCCCCCAGAAGGAGGACCGTCTGCTGAGTCGGGAGCCATGCCCTGGAGTGACAGCAGGAGAGAAGGACCAGAGGTGGCTGACAGGATGTCCCCTCTTGTTTCAGGCTGCCCTTTCCTCCTGGGGACCGTGTGACCTTCAACGGGAAGGAGTGTATGTGCCAGAAGTGTTCCCCGCCCACAACACTGGGCAGCAGTGCTCACCTGGCCCAGGGCCTCCGGAGTAAGTGCGGCTGTGCCTCTGTAAGGGTGGGTGCTGCTGCAAGCTGGGGTGACCGAGCCTGGCATTGTGGGACCAGCACAGTGACAGAGCACTAAACACTGGGGACCCAGTGAGGAATCTCCCCGTTCTTGCTACTAAGTCTTTTGCACAGGCATTGCCCATCATAGCCACCACTTTTCCATTCCACATGTCTTCTGCTGTCACCCAGCTCCAGGCCTCCTCCTCCAGGAAGCCTTCCCAGTATCCTCTCTGTCCTTCCCTTTTGGTGCTGGCACAAGACCAGGTCCACCTTGATGGCAGAGCCATATGCAGTGTGCAGGGCAGGAGACAGACATCTCCGGGAACCCCTGTGGGTCTCTCATGGACCACTAAGGATGTCCTGTGACTGGCAGATAGGCCGTAGCTGTCACAGTACTGCTCTGCCGCTGGCAGAGCCATGCAGGGCTGCCAGGGCACCGGAGGCATTGACAGTGAGCCCTGCGTTCCCATGACAACAATCCTTATGCCCCTTGCTGGGACAGGGATGGGGGAGGTTGTTGAGAGCGACTTCATGGTAGCCCAGAGCCACAGAATCCCCCTGCTGAGCCCAGGCAGAGGAACCCAGACAGTCCTCCACTCCCTACTCTGGAGTTCCAGGTGGGCTGGTGGTAACAGAGTGTCAGACATGCCTCGGACCTCTGCAGCAGCCCCAGCTCTGGCCACGGGAGTAGTTGTTAGACAGAGCCAGCCTCTCTGGTAGATGTCATCTGTACCTGCCTTTATTCATTCATGAGGTACAACCTTGACACCCAGGACCTGTGCTTGGATTTGCTCTCTATGGGGTCAGAACTATTATTAGCCCACAAGAACATCGCCCTTTCCTTGGTATTCACAAGTGACTTGCCAGTGGTCGTGTAGCAGGTGGGAGGCAGTTAGTGCCTGGGCCTCAGGAGCCTCACCTGGGGGTTGCCTCTTTGACCTCTGCAGGAGGCATGACTTCTGGCCTTCCTAGCAGTCTGGTGTGGTATCACCCACAGGCCAGCCATTACTCAGAGAAGCTGCTCAGTGCCAGCACTATGGGTGTTTAGGACCATTTTTCTCTAGGGTGGCATCTATACAGAGCTAGGCAGGAGGCTTAGCGTCTCCCCCAATCCCACATTGCATACACAGAGGCCTGCCCCCATTGGAGCCATCAAAAGGGTCTCCAGATCTTTTTTTTTTTTTTTCCAGAGCTGAGGACCGAACCCAGGGCCTTGCGCTTGCTAGGCAAGCGCTCTACCACTGAGCTAAATCCCCAACCCCTCCAGATCTTGTTAAAAGTCCTCTGGGAACATATCACCTCTGCCTGGGAGCCATGGGCATGGTGCTCACCAAATGTGGCCCAGCACCATATAAAATGCTGCACAATTGAGTGTCTCTATAATCCCAGTACTTGCAGGTTGGAGGTAGGAAGATCAAGAGTTCAAAGTTATCTTCAACTACATAGTGTGTTTGAGTCTGGCGTGGGCTATCCTGTATCAACAAGCAAAGCCCCAAACTGTGTCTGTACTGAGCATGTGCAGACATCTTCCTTGTCTTTATTCCCAGTGAGTACAGGGTCATGACTGTTCACTCGGTGTTTGTGTGCTCCAAACAGCACTGGTCAAAGGAGCATTAAGCCTGTGGGAGGTATGTACAGAAGTGCAAAGGCTGTCCTCTTCTGAGACAAGACTTCAGTGTCCCAGGCGTCCTGGTTCCCAGCCTTAGAAACTAAGAGGCAGTTGTGCCCACAGAGGCTGCACACAGCACACAATATACCATACATAAGCCGGGTGGTGGTGGCACACATCTTTAATCCCAGCACCCAGAAGGCAGAGGCAAGTGGATCTCTGAGTTCAAGGGCAGGCTGGTCTACAGAGTGAGTTCCAGAACAGCCACAGCTACACAGAGAAACCTTGTCTCAAAAAACCAAAAATAATAATAAATAAAAAAATACCTACACATCCTTGCACAGATGCATGCAAGTGTGATGCACACGTCCCCACAGTTACCCCTGTATGCTCACCTGACACCCCCTGCCTGTTGCACTTTGCTGAGAGCCCACACATCCTTCAGTGAGTGACAAGGACCCTGGTGTAGCAGTTCCCTGTGTGGAGGGACCAGCTGGCTCAGCAAAGTAGGGCCAGGGCCCTCAGCAGCATGGGGCAGGGTGGGCACAAGTGGGAGGGAAGAGGCATCTGGGGAGCCTGATCAGGGCCTCAGACCAGGATACTGCCCTGCAGTGAAGAATGCTGGTCCTCACGGCAGGGGTGGAGGTGGGGTTCAGAGAGAGAAAGCACAGATGGGCAGGGTAGATGCAGAAGAAGATGTCTGGGCCTGGGATAGGCACAAGCTGACTAGGGCTCAGAACAGAGAGCAGAGGGGGAACGGAATCCCAAATGCAGGGGCCTCATAAGCACAGGAGGAGTTGGGGATATGTGGATCGAACAGAATCCCCAGGAGGGGGCTCCCAGCAGGTGAGATGTGGAGCAGGGAGTGGAGGTGGATGCTGGGACTCACCTCTCCAGGAGGGGAACCCAGGCAGGTGGGACTGTATGGCCAGGAGTAGGATGGCAGGAAGGGCTGGGCTCAGACCTCTCCGGGGAGGTCATGTCCCTCTGGTGAGATGCCATATTATGTGTAAGTTCAACATTCTGCCTTCAGCAAAGAGTGGTAAGTTCCTGTATCAGAAACTGCTAGTGCACCATATCAAGCAGGCTGCCCCCAACCCTAGGCCAGCTTAGACCCAGCACACCCTGGTGTGAGTGTATGGTTCTGCACCATGATGGATCCAAACTTTTAGAAGGCTGGCTTCATCTCCAACTTTGTTTTCCCAGTCTCCAGCTCAGGTTGCATAATGTTAATGCTCCTCACACACAGGATCAAGCCTCATGATGGGCTGTGCAAGGGCTCCCTTTAACTGTGGGACAGTGTCCTTTTAGCACACCACTGTGTCTGTCCTTCTCCTCTAGGGTTGCCCTGGGTGATTCTGTAGGGCCTCAGAGTCTGAGGGATTGAGTGCCCCTGGTGGGGTTGCTGGGCCCTGCAGTAGGAGGCCCCTAGGCCCACAGTGAAGGTGTCTCTTTGTTCTCTGTTCCAGGTTGTGGGGGCTGTGGCTTAGAAATCAAGAATGGCCAGGCCCTGGTGGCTTTGGACAAGCACTGGCACCTGGGCTGCTTCAAGTGCAAGACTTGTGGGAAACTCCTCAATGCGGAGTACATCAGCAAGTGAGTGTGGCAGACAGAGCCAACCCAGGAAGGCCTTGCCCACCGCCGCAGGTGGGGCAGGGGGTCTGGTCCTGGTGGGCCAACTAGTCCTGTTGCTGGGTAAAGAACAAGGGCCAGGACTTGTTCTGGTCCCTGCAGCCTTCCTCTCCCTTCCTAGCAGCCCTGCTGAAGTGCGTTGTGGTCTCCAGCCTGGCTTGTGGCTAGAAGCAGAGGAATGGGGGCTGCCAGCTGTGACTTCATAAAACACCCGCCTCTCTGTTCCAGGATGTTGCCACCTGCTTGGTGCCTGCACATTCCTGGCACTGGATGCCCTGTGGAGCACATACCAGCTGATAGATGCTAGCTGCAAGGACTCATGAGGCTGGCTGTCCCCATGGGAGCATGGGAGCCTACAGGCACCTGCTCTGATCTGCAGAGATAGACTTTGGGATATCCCCTACCCATCAGCTCAGTGCTTCCCCAGCATGCGGTTAAGGAGTTGAGCCTGCCTGGGGAGGAGACAGCATTTGCCAGAGACTGTGGAATCATGTCTTGAGCTGGGATGTATATTAACCCTGGGATCAGGGAGGTGAGGCAGGAAGTGCAGGTGAAGTGAGGTGGGTGGTGATTGAAAGAGTGCCCCCTAGCACAGGAATGTCCTCCTCCATGTTCCAAAATTGGAATCCAAGTACGGATTGATCAGGCGAAAAAAGGACCCCTGGTAAGATTGCATAGAGTGGAGTGTGTGTACACATATGCATGCACACATGCATGTACACACACATGTATGCAATACATACACATGTGCACACAATGCACACATGCATGCATATACATGCACACCCATACATGCATACACATATACATACACACAAATGTCCAGGAGGGCATGTACAGGGTCCTAGAGGCCAATATGCTCATGCTGGCACCCAGGTTGACAGTACACCCTGTCACCCAGAGGACTGAATAGAGAGTACCTGGGATCTCTCTGTGTTCCTGAATAGAATACCATGTGACCCACTGATCACAAAATGAAACATTGTCTAAAATGATGTCCCCAAGCCAAAGTGGGCTTCCACTCAGATGGATGAGTCTATGAGGTCTGGGTCCCCCACCCTCCATCACAGTCATACTGTGGGGAGTGACTCAGGCGGACAGAGCCTGGTGTGCGGGACCCTGAAGGAAATGGCAGTGTTGCCCCCCCCCCATCAGGTGCCACCCCACACAGGGCGTTGGTGGCTCACCCACACCAGCATGTTACTTAGCAGCCTCCAGAGCCATCCCAGAACTGAGGGGGAGATCACACTGGTGTTGCCATGGAGATGGAACCTAAGAACTTCCTGGGTTTGCTGTCGATAGATGGGCTTGTGGGGTCTCCAGGCCTGCATCCTCTCTCCTTCTGGGAGGCACCTCTGGGAGCTGAGGTCAGTGGAGGACAGTCACAGAGGGGCACCCGGCCCTGGGGCACTTATCCTGAGGCCTTGAGAGGAATTAAGGGAAGGAGCGAGGCACTCAGTCTAAACCCCAACAGTCCGAGTACGCCTGCCTGTCATGGCTGTGGAAATGTAGGTAGAGTTCACAGTAGCTGCATCCCCAGTGGGAATGCTTTGTAGTGGCAGGTGTCCACCCTCCTGTCCCCTCCACACTAACTCCTGTTGAGCTGTGGCCTGTGGTTGAAGACCATCACAGCTGGCAACACCAGTGGTCTTGGGCACTAAGTGCTTTCGTAAGGCAGTCCCACACACCCCCTATGAAGACCTCACTCTCATTTCTCCTGTTTTACTGTGGGAGGGGCTGAGGTTCAGTGACGTTTAAGCCACGTACTTGATGGCATTCAAGTCCAAGGCTGTTTGCATGTCTCCTCCCAGCAACCCTTTCCCATCTTGAGTGGGGTGATAGAGGTCCCGCCTGCAACCTCCGTGGCTCCCCGAGCCTTCCCTTCCCTCAGCCCTCTCTCCCTGCCTTTGCGGCTCGTCATTTGATTGCTAGGCTCACAGAGCCCAGAAAAAGGGATAGGTAAGTTGGGAGAAGATCCTGTCTGCACTGTCTTCCCATGACGCTGGGCTGAGTGAGGGCTAGCCCGTTTAACACGGAACCGAGCTGGCCACTCTCCTGAGCGCAGCTTCCGGAACAGTCTGCCTTTACACTGACCCCTGCTGCCACCTGCAGCACGGGCTGTACAGCCACACTTGAAAACACAGGCAGAAGGCAGGACTGACCCCTTCACAGTCCTCACGCCGCCGTGGCGAAGTGGGTGGTCAATGAATGCTGCCTGTCCAGGAATTGCCCCTCGGAGTAGGAGGGAGCTGCCCTGTCTCCATGTTGAGAGAGAGTCCTCTTATGAGTTTTGTTTCATGTTGGGGGCCAAGTGGGTGGCCCCATGCCCTCCTGACTGCCTGTGTCATTACAGGGATGGGCTGCCCTACTGTGAGGCTGATTACCACACCAAGTTTGGCATCCGCTGCGATGGCTGTGAGAAGTACATCACGGGCCGCGTGCTGGAGGTGAGAAGCCTGAGAGCTGAGTCATCTCAGAAAGAGCCCCGATCCTCTAGCCGTCCCTTCCTGTGCCCAGAACGCTTAGCACACTGCAAGCCTTTCCCTCTCCACACAGAGTTCATGCTGATGGTGCCGCGCTGTGTGTGATCTCTTGTGACCCACTTCTTTTCCATAGCCTGATACTCAGAGCTCACTTAGGTGTAAGCATGGGTCAACATGTGTCACACATCTCCTCACGTGGGACCTGGGATGTGCTAGACTGGTCCTCTTGTTAGGCATGGCATACTCTGATTTACTGTGGTAAATAAGACTACAGTGAACATCTTTTCCCAAGGCTCCGTTTGTACTAGTAATCTCCATACTCTCCCTTCAGATAAAGTCCGCAGAAACATGGATGCTGGGTCAAAACTGCAAATGCTTGCACAGTTTGTGGCAGTCACTGTAAATGGTCTGCTTTTCAGTAGTCTTCTGGCTCTCTCCTACCTCAGCCTTTGCCTGAGCTGGCTCTGGGAAGGCTCAGCCTTTCCCCAGACCTGAGGCAGGCTGGCTGCTCCGTCTTTTTTATAAGCATTGCTTATGCACTGGGGTCTTCACGTTGTCTGAGTGGGTCGTGCAGGAGTATTGGGACTTTTGTTTCCTTTACATCCTGTGAGTCTTGTCCTGTGTGAGGCGCATAGCTGGTATTCATACAGGCCAATCCTGAATTAGGACAAAAGACCAGCCTGTCCCATCCCAACGAAGCCTGGCCCCACCCCCGTCTACCCTCACCCTGCTTGTCCCCCCCACCACACACACACACACACTGTTGCTGGAGTTTCACTCTGCCCAGGATCCTTTCTTGTTTCTCTTCCTGAACAAGAGTTCACCCTCGATGGCTTTTGTTATCATTATTTTTTATTTTAATTTTTTTTTTAATCAGGGTCTCATGTAGCCCAAGGCTGGCCTTGAATTTCTTGCATGGTTGAGGCTGACTTTGAACTCCCGATTCTTCTTCCTCCTGCTCCAGAGTGCTATGTGCCCCAGGAGCTTTTAAAGCAACTTAAGTGGCTCTTATTAAAAAGAGCATCTGCCAGCATCAGCCCCTGGGATGGCGGCAACTGTGACAGATGTGTGGTTTTGCTTCCCTAGACAGCTCACCTGGCCTCCCTGACTCTGAGGGTCCCTCCCCATAGCACACTGAAGCCTGCACTCTGCCCTCCCACCGAAGACCTCAAGCTCAGGAAACCATCCCTGTCTTCTCTTTGGACCTGGGGCTCCTGCCTCTCCCTGATCTCCTGGTACCTGTGCACCTGGCTGACCACATAGCTGTCCCTCTGTCTTTGAAGACGCCTTTAGGGCTCAGCCAGGTGTGGGGAATCCCCCAGCAGAGCCTCATGTGAACAAAGGCTGCCCTAAATCTCCTGACCTCTGCCAGAGAGCAGACCTTGGGTGGCATGGTAACCTAATCTTGTCTTGTGACCTTATGGGCTGATGTGGGTGCATCTGGGATCCGCCTCTGCCATTGCTGTGGCTACTAAAAGCACAGTTTGGGAACCTGGTCCACTTCAGAGCAGAGCCCAGCAGACCCCCACCTAGAACAGCTGGCCTAGGTGGGCAGACATGGCCCAGTGCTGATAGCTGGACTTGGAGAGAGTTGGTGAGGTTTGCTTCGCGCTAGGGCATGTCCCATGTCCCATTATCTCAGCTCTGAATTGCCCCAAGACAACGCATGGGAGGGACATCTTTGTGAGGCCATTGGTGTCCCTCGTGCATGGTGTCCCATGTGCATGGCAAGCACATGACCCACATCTGTAGAGTGAGCATTCCTGTTGTATCTCTGAGCCAAGTGCAGAAGTAGAGACTAGGTGCTATAAAACGCCATTGGTATACTCTGGACTGTGGGAAGGGGCTGTCCTAGCTGACAGGATCTGGACAGTCCTAGTTTTCTTCTACAGCCTACAGTGGAGGGGGAACGGCTTCCCAGGGAGTTGCACACTTTTGGTTTTGCTTTTTCTGGGGGCGAGTGTGCTGCGGTGGTGGTGGTGGTGGTGGTGGCGGCGGCGGTGACGGTGGTGGTGACTGGAGGTGGCACGGCTGAGTTATTATGCTGCGGGCTCTGCACAGCTCTGAGCATCCTCCTGGCGGGTGTGAGGTGGGAGCTGCTGCGGGTGGAGACAGCCAGCTCTGCAGAAGGGAGCAGCAGCGCTGCAGTGGCACTTGCCTGAAGCTGGGCCAGGCAGCCTGGCGCCGGGCTGGTGACACTGGGCTCTCGGGGAGCTGCAGGAACAAGTGACTTATTGGAAGAAAGAGAAAAAGGACAAGATTATGGAGGCTGGCTGAGAGCAAGGGTGACACCTCAGGGCAGGCGGTCCAGGCTCGTGCACTGAGAAGGGCTGGGGACAGACCCTGTGCAGGTAGGAAGCCTGGCAGAGCTGGCAGGGGCTGTGCTGAGCCAGGTGGGCGGGCTGCTGGAGGTCCCTGCAGTCCCTCAGGCCCCTGAGACCATTTTCAGCCCCCAGCTGTCCTCTCTGTGAGGCCCAAGTGGGAGCCTCCTGTGCTCCCCCACAACAGCCTCATTTGGGCTGTGACTGTGTGAGGTAGGCACAGTGCCATCTTAAGCTCTTGGAGCCAACAGTGCTGCCTGGGGAATGTGTGTTTCTGGTGATGGAGGGTACTCCTCCCTCTGCTTGGCTCTGTCACTCGCGGACAGCAGTCCTGAGGAGCCTGCTCCCTGGGGACCTATAGGGTCCAGGAGGGGCGTTAGCAGACATGGACAGATGAGAGCAGAGGCGGCCTGTGGGCGACGAGGCAGAGCTCACACCTGAAGTGGCTGGGGTCAACACGCAGAGAGCTGCAGTTTGCCGGAGGATTCCAGAGGCACGTCCTCAGGAAGTCCTTTAGAGCTCGGTGTAGGAGAGAGATGTGGAAGGAGCATGTGTCCCTGGCAGTGGCCTGAGCCTAGTCCTTAGCTAGCCATTTTATAAGCCCCATTTCTTCTCTCTGCAAAGGCGGGGGTGAGCATGGTATGGGGGTGTAACTTGGTTCACCTGATGGCACGCACCATGGTTTGGACCCCACTTTCAGTGTGGTTTTATACCCATGGCTATTTCCATGGTAACATGAAGCTCAGGTCCCTCTGGGACCACTAATTAATTCCTTCCTTCTTCCCTCCTTCCATCCCTCTTTCCTTTCCTTCTCCATTCCTGGTATTAGTTCCCATGGGACTCCCTGTGTCCCACTGTGAGCTGGGGGCTGGCTCCACACAAAGGAGGTAACCGGAGTCCCTGCCATGGAGGATGACGGGAGCTTCTGCAGGAAAGGAGGCTGCCCGGGCTGCTTTGCCCTGGGTTGGGGGGCCCACACAAACACTTCTGCTTCCATACACATCTCCTGACATGATGGGATGTTCCTTTCAGCTGCCCGCTTATGTATTCCCACGGGCACTTTGCTTGCCACTTCGCATGCACGCGCTCTGCTCTTTACTACTGGCAGAGGAAAAACTGTGTTTTCAAAGAGTTGGGAGCATTTGAAAGCTGAAGATAGCAACGAAGACAGCATCTTAAGCCTCTAAAACCAGTGTGCTTATTTCAAAAGTGTATTCAAGAGACTTATGTAAAATAAACAATAAAATCGCTCCTAGCGAATGCTGACACCTAAACTATTCAATATTTAGAAATGATATTCTTGCATCTCACCTACACACACACACATCCATACACACACACATACACACACTCACATTCACACGTACACATAGAGGCAACCCACAGACTTACACATGGATACAATACCCAGAGACACACAGACACATAACATGTCACATGCAAGCACAGACACAGAGACATATATGTACATATGGACAACACGAATAGGCACACAAACACACATACGGATACAGGCATGAGTGTGTATACCACTGTAGGCTGGGGGCCTCAGCTGCTCCCACGTGTGTTTGGCTCCAACTCTCTGTCCCCAGGGAGTACTTATGCTTGACTCTGGGCCTGTGCTCCCCCTCAGAGTACCTTTCATGGATGCATCCCTGGGTGGGCCTTAAGGGTGTTTGTATGGGCAGATGGTACAGTTTCCCAAGATGACTTTCTAAGTGGAGCTGACGGTGAGGATCAAGAAGGGAGGTGGGGATAGGGGCACCCAGGGGGCCTAGTATGTCAATAACAGATCCTGAAAAGTGAAGAGCTGGGGTTGGTAAGGAGGATGAGCACAGGGACAGAGCAAGAGTCTGGGCAGGGACTCCAGACCTCTGGGGCTTTTCTGGGCATGCACTAACTTGGCTCTTCTTTTGGGAACAAGTGGTTCCTCCAGGGTCTCAGGTGGAAGAACCCTGGGGACTCTGTGCAGCTGCAGCCATCAGGCACTCCTGGCACTCACTGCCTGGTGACTGCTCTGGGTCCTGGCTCTGTCTTGTAAATTTCATTTCCTCATTGCACCATGGCAATCAGGACTTTAAGCATCTGGATTCAGTCTTGGACATTCACAGGGAATTTGCAAACCAGGCATGGTGGCACCCACCTGGAATTCCAGTATTCAGAGGTGGAGGCAGGAGACTCCCCTCAGTGGGCTCCACAGCCAAATGGTGTCTTCTAAGATACCTGGGACTCAGGTCTCCCACTTTATGTCTCCCTCACAGATGAATTGTTCTAGAACATAGAGAATCCTTGAAACGTGGCTCAGCTGCTGTCTGCCATGCTTTGCAGATGAGTGGTCCCCAGCAAGAATGAGAACAGTGGTCTCTCCTAGCTGTGAGGCTGAGGATGCTTGACCCATGCAGTCAAGATGTGTGGTCACTGGGGGAGGGGTGGTGCTAGGGGGCACTGGCTCACCTGTGGCTCAGACTTAGGTGTGGGGCTCTGTAGTGAGTCAGGCATGTGCCATGACAATATGAGAAGGCACCCACAGAGTAGGTACTCTGTGACCACCTCCCCTTCACCATTACCCTGTGGCACCAACAGGTGTAGGAACTGACCACACAGACAATGGGGGTTCAGGGAATTGGGAGTCCCAGAACCAGCAGGGGCTCAGCCACAGCCAGTCTGCCTGCCCCAAGGCTATGGCAAATTCTGGGGAGTGGTATCTGCTCCAGGCTGGAAGCCTGCCAAGCCGGCTAAAGCCGTGGCTCTGCCCTACGAGTCCTCAGGCCTTGGGTAGGTCTTCTGGCTTCCCCAGGCCTCAGGTTCCTCATCTGAGCAGTGGGTGTGGATGACAATGCCCGTACAGACAATGGACATGGATACATAGAAAGTCCTGAATGCATTGCTTGACACATGGACAGTCACAAGAATACCATCAAGGACCGACCTCTTCCAGATGCAGAGGGAGCCCAAGTGGTACAGTTAACCACCGAGAATTTGCTAAAACACACACACTCCAAGGCATCTCAGGCATCTGCAGCCATTGTCCAAACCTCTGCTCACTGGTTCCAAGCTTTCCCATCCTCCAAAAGGAACCCTCCACACAGGCAGGGTCACCTCTGGCCCCTGGCTGCCTCTGTGGATTTGCCTGTTCTAGATGTTTCTGAGTCACACTGCTGACCTCACATGGCTGGCTTCCTCTCCTTCAGTGTTCACAGGCTGTCCACGCTGTGGCACCTGTGGGTACCTCCTCCTTTCTACAGCTACGCAGCATCCTACGGATGGATGTGTTGCACCGCCTCCTTCACAGAGCTTCCTCCCTGTCCCACATTGTTAAAGCCGTCATAGCCACTTCCACCATAGCCCCACCCACCACTACCATAGCCTCTGCCTTCTCCAGAGTAATCAGGACTGCCTCCCCTATAACCATCGTCATTACCAAACTCATTAGAGCCAACAACACTGCCACCGTATCCACCAACACTATGGTCACTGAAGTTTCCTCCATGACCAAGACTGTCATTGTCACCCAGGCTGCCTCCACCACCACTGCCAGAGCTTTCCAGAACCATATGAACCTGCAGGAAGCACTGACCATCTCAGGGTTCACTTCTCAAGTTTCTCAACTTCTCAGTGTGGCTGCCACTCTCAAGATGGCCACTCACAGTGTGGCATTTCTGAACGGCAGCCTTATTCTCAGAGTCGTGGTCCTCAGAGGTGATGAGCAATGCTGTTCTTTCCCCTACTGTCCATTACCATTCCAACCACTTCGCTTTCCCTAGCTGGGCAAAGTAATCTCCCGGTGGCTGTCCTCGGTGGTAGGCAGGGTGATGGCAGACAGGTCAGTGGCAATGGCGGGACAGACAGCTGTAACTGTAACGACAGAGGTAGCAGAGGTGTCTTTGGCTGTGGTCATAGAAGGAAAGATCTTTCACAGGTAAGTGGGCACCTAGTCTTTGAGAATCTTCTCTCAGCTGTCTTTGGGTTCACTGTTCTTTTGTGCACATTGTGTGGCCCTGCATTCATGGCTTCATCCACCTCCTGCCCTGTGGCAGCGACTGTTCTCTGTGGTTCCCCAGACATCCAGAGATGGTTTGAAAGCCCCGCTTTCCAAGAAGAGCTTGCTTCCATCTGTTCATGCTCTTTAGGAGCCTGACTTAGACCTGAAAGCAAGAAGATGAGAGCTTTCAATGACACTTCCTCAGCCTCATCCACAGGCAAAAAATGCTGTTCCTTTCTTGTCTGGGCTATGTCTTGTTGAATGGCAACAGTTCTTTACATATTCTGGATCCCGTGCTCTTCCTGGGTCTATGACTTGCAAAGCTGTTCTTCCCTTCTTCAGCTTGTCTTCTCAGCTTTCTGCCAGTGCCCTTTGATGAATGCAAGCTTTTGGTGGGTCTTGCCGAAGCCTGGTTTCTAATTGTTCTTCTGTTTGCTTATGGTTTGGCTATCCAATCTAAGTCTCCATCCAGGCTAACATGGGCTTTGTGCGAGCTTTTCTCTTGATGGTTGTGCTGTTTTGGATCTTGTAGTTAGGTCTTCTGTCTGTTTATGGAACTCTTGGATTTGGGTATCCATGACATGCACTGACATGCAGAGAGGAGTGGCCATGTGCACCTGGACACGCTTCCACAAATCAGACGCACTCAGGTAGCCACCACCCAAGCCAGGACCACAACACACCCAGCCTCTGTGGACTTTTTCCGGTCAGCACAGGATAGTCACCACCGTCTGGAGTCCCTCTCATTTGGGCCCTGATAAACCTGGGTCTGGCTCCCCTGTGCTGGCTTCTCTTCCTTACTGTTCAGACTGTCTGCATCCTCTATGTTCTGTGCATCTCTATGCTTCCTCTGTCATCTTCCTACCGAATGACCTTGCTCAAGTCCCCCTCCACCGCCATGCCTCTTACCACAGTGAAGGCTATACTGCACCCACAGTGTATTATATAAAGGACTGCCACAGAACTGAACCTCTAGGATGTGTGGAACTGAGTAGTGTGTGTGTGTGTGTGTGTGTGTGTGTGTGTGTGTGTGTGTGTGTGTGTGTGGTGTGGCAAGTCACAGGGATGGCAACTGTTATGGAGGGAAATCCAGTCTCTTGTCTCTCTGTCTGTCTCTCTCCCTCTCTCTCCAATGTATTTCGATCTCTGTGTATGCCACATGTGTGGCATACCTGAAGAGGACATAGGATAACCTGGAGCTGGAGTTATAGGTAATTGTGAGCTGTCCGACTTGGGTTCTGGGAACTGAACTCAGGTCAACCTGGATGATCAGCAAGCTCTCTTAACTACTGAGCAATCTCTCCAGCCCTGTACCTAGTGTCTCAGAAACTGTTTCCACCAGCGTTCTATGTCCCTTTAAGTTCGCAAATGGACACAGGGCTTGTTGACCCTGGGGCTGTCACAGAGCTGCTGGGAGGACTTGTGGGGAGCAGGGAGAAAGTAGGAAGGTCATGAACTGGGAACATCAATTCTGGAAATCAGCTGACTTTTCTAAAAATACAGAGTGGTTTTCAACCTTTGCTCAGCACTCAGAACAGAGCACTCCCCTGCCCACTCTCTATGCTGTCTATTGTAATTACCAAAATGACCGGGACCCTTACCCTGTCATTCAGGCTGGCACTGGGTGCAACTACTGTCCATGAAGCAGTTTAGTCCTGGAAGAGCCCAGGCACCAGCCCTGCCAGCAAACCTCGGTGTGTTCTTGGGGGAAGAAGCCCGGACACTCACCAAGCAGTGAGGAATGGATCGGAAGGGATGAGATTAGGGGGCATCGGAGAGACTCCTATGAAGGAGTTGGCTTTGGGAGGAAACAAGACCATTTGGTGAGGCTGAGAGGTCCAGAGGAACCCAGTGGGCAGAGCTACCATGAACAAGGGCCAGGGCTAGGGTCAGCCACCATAGATGGGGTCTCTCCTCTCTGCCTTGAGGATCCCTTGGCCCAAGACATGAGCATGGGTGGGGCTGAGTTGATAGCCAGGAGGAAAGTGATAGAGCAGCCAGCAAGGCCCACACAGGGAAGATTCTCCCTTCCCATGTGCAGGGGCCTTGGCCTAGTTTTTTCAAGAGAGAAGAGGCAGAGGTAGGGAGTGAGGTAAGGTGCTCTTAGCGTCCCCCCTTCTTATTCAGGAAGGTGCCAATTAAGATTCAAGTTCAGAAGCGGGCGTGGAGCCTCTTGCCGTTTTAGGATGCTGTGAGACACGGGCTTCATCTTTCACATTCAGCTGCAGGCCCACCTGCCACACCCTGGGAACAGCATTCTCGGCTGGGGATGGTGGAAACAGCACTTTAGGATTTTTTCTTGGCACCATGTAGAAGTAAGCCAGAGGCCAGAAATTACAATTAGTGTAATCTAGTTATTGTTTTAGGATTAAAATTTGTAATCTAATTTAACAGTTTTAAAGAATGACTAAACTAGAAAGTGCCAATTGAGAGAATGGAGGAGGACAGAGGTACAAAAACAAAAACAAAACGAAACAGCCCCAAACTATCCCCCCTGTTCCCATCACCAGAGAAATGACATTACCTCCTCCCACCCTCCGATCCTCGCTTCCACCTCTTGTCCCCCAGAACATGCAGAGGTGAAGGGACCAGACCCTCCTTTGATACTGACCTGTCCACAGCCATACCCCAGGAGTGGTTCGCTGCACATCTGGTCTCCAGAGATCAAGGATAAGGCAGGCAGAGCTAGGTCTCCCAACCTTTGAACTGGCCCTGGATGCCCTGGGTGTCCCCTGTCTAACTTATGCAGATCTTTGATCCTGGTGGCTGCTGGGCCTTTGATGTGCTCACAGTCCAGCTTTTCCAGATGTGTGCACAGGGAAGTTGGCCCGCCCCACCCCGCCCCAAGTGCTATGGCCTAGTGGGTACCCACTGCAGTGGTAACACTTACCTGCTTTGTGTTTTCCCCAGGCCGGGGAGAAGCACTACCACCCTTCATGCGCGCTATGTGTCAGGTGCGGCCAGATGTTCTCAGAGGGAGAGGAGATGTACCTGCAAGGTAAGCATTTGAATGTGCCTATTGTTCTCTGTGCTGGGGGTGAAATTGGTCATCGTGCTGCTGGGAGCTGACATTGTCACACACACACACACACACACACACACACACACACACACACACAGCCATCTCTACTCAGCAGCATCACCATTGAGGGTGTCAGTGAACCAGAATGAGCAAGATCAGGCTGCCAAAGAGCAGGCCATGAGGTCCCACCCCTGCCCCTCAGGCCTTATTCCCATTCGAGAACTCAGAGACTTTCAGTTGTGCCCCACCTGAGTCTTGGCCTGTGGTGCCCCTTGTCACATTGCAGCAAGACCAGGTTTCCTTCCTGGTGTGTGGAAAGGAGCATCCTTCATAACATTGGCAAAGGGAAATTGGGAGAAAAGAGCCTTCTAATGTGTTCACTGGAACCCCACCCACTCACCATTAAAAATCGTATTAACAGGGCCAGTGAGGTGGCTCAATGCTTGGAGACCCTTCCAGCACAAGTGACGACCTAAGTTCCACTCCTGGAACCCAAGTAAAGGTGGAAAGAGAGAACTGACTCTACAAAGTTGCCCTCTGACCTTCACACATGTGCCATGGTACGCGTGCCCTCACCCAATACCCGTAAAATAAAATCACAAAAAATCGTGTCAAAATGGAAAATGACAGTGACGGAGCTTAGCCACCTTCGTGGCTACATGTCTCACTTTAGAACCATGCAATGTTTCGTTCCCTAAAATAGGATGAGTGGCCCACAGCGCAGCAGAGGACATGGTGGTGCAGACCTAAGGGAGCCACAGATGGCAGGAGGGGCAGAGAGGTGATGGTATTGCCAGGGCATATTCCCCCCGAGGCAGTATGGGAGACAGAGCAACCAGCTGAAGGTAGCTCCAGGTCACACAGGTGCTTAGGAGCTTGCCAGCCTAACATGCCTGAAGGGGAGGTTATGCCAAGTCCCTTTCAGTCCTGTCTCTCAGAAAGTCGAAGAGGCAGCATGGTTTCATCTCAAAACTCTACTGGGAATGACGTCATTGGGTTAAGATGTTCAGTATGGGCCTGGAGCAAGAGCTTGGTCAGAAGTCATAGCCTTGGCAACTGTCTTCATTGGACAGAGGGCTCCTTGGGACTCCTGGGGTTGGAGACCAAGCCAGGCTTCACAGCCTCTCTTCCTAGATGAGCCTTTCAGACAGGGTTCGTGGCTGCTATTAAATTCCAATGGTAGCATTCAGTGTTCCCTCGTTTCTTTCCTATTGGTTGAAAGCAGAACCGGGGAGGCAATGGTCCTTCCTGGTAGGGGAGGAAACACAGTTTTCTCTTCACCCTTCCTAGCTTAGTGGGGCCCCCTGTGATGGAAGGTGGGTGAAGGATAAAAGGGCAGCAAGAAGTGTATGAATGAGTGGTCCTCCTGCACACACAGGAGAGCCAGGGTGGATCTCAGAGGGCAACTTTGATTTCTGACTGACATACCACTTTCTTAGCCATGAGAAAAGAGTGTCTTCAAATGGAAGAAGGAGACCTTGTGTGTGTGTGTGGGGGGGTGTCTTTCTGTTGCAGGTGCTAATCGCACCTCCCCAGTGATGGGACCCCGGTGACTCAGTCTCCCCATCTGCCAGGTGAAGGTGTGCCCTTATATGTGGAGACCTCTATACAGATCTGAATTTCCCCTGGTAGTGAGTGACCTCCTTTCTGTTGTATCATTTCTGAGTTTTCCAGGTCCCCAGGTAACCAGCTCAAAGTGATCCTTCTGCCACAGAAGATACAGGTGTCACATGCTGCTGCCTGGTCATATGTTGGTGTAGCTTGTTCTGACCCTTTGATCTCAAGGGAGAAACTATGTAATCCTAGTTTCATCTCTGATGTTGTAATAAAATGTCCTGATCAAAAGCAGCATCGAGGAGGAAATGGTTAATGGCTCATGATTCCATGTTGGGCCGTTATTGCAGGGAAGTCAAGGAAGGAACTTAAAGCAGCCAGTCACATCCATAGTCAAGATCAGAGAGAAATCATGCTGCCTGCTTGCTTAGTACTCAGCTAGCCATTTCTGCTCTTATGCAGTCCAGGGCACAAAGCCAGGGAATGGTGTCGCCCATGATGGGCTGAGTCATCTTACATCAATTAAAATTTAAGACCAACCTGATCTAGCCAACTCCTCAAGTGAAACTCTTCTCAGATGATTCTAGGCTGTGTCAAGTTGACAGTGAAAGCTAACCAGCACATGTGTCTAGGGTGGGGTCCTTTACTGAAAGTAGGGCAAGGCTCAGACACCAGAGGTGAGTGAGGAATGCCACAAGACAGGAAGGGTGGCCAGGCACCTGGAGGAAAGGATTCTCAGTGGCTTGACTTGCATTATTCTGGCTAAAACTGGGCTAGGGAGTTCCAAAAACAGGGGGAGCAGAGGTCAAGGACTGGAGCAGAGGTCACAGCTTAGTCTAGACTGGAATTTAATTAAGGAACGAGGACCTGTGTTTCCTACTTCCCACCGAGTGCTGGGGACAGACAAGTGAGGCAGGCCAGCCCACCCTCCAGAGCAGTTAGCCAGAGGGAGCCAGTGTGAGGCCAAGATATCCCAGACACAGCAGCAGAAGGCTGGGAGTACTGCTTGGAGGAGGTGTGGGCAGGGCTTGGCTTGGCCATGGTGAGAGGCTGGAGGATGAAGGATGAATAGGTGAATAGGAAGGCAGAGCCCCTGTCAGGAGCCTATATTCAAGCTGAAAGTGACAGAGGATTGGCTCGGCCTGGTGAGCTGGTCCTTACCTGACTGGATGCAGCAAGAGGAGAGAGCTCACTCCTCAACCCCTGCCCAGGGCTAGCAGGAGAGACAGAAACAGGCCGCTTGAGAGGCGTGGCTTCATCCCAGAGCACGTGACCAGGGGACACTGGGATGAGTTGCGGGGAGGGGGCTGAGGACCAGCAATAGGGTGGGCATGATCAGTGGGCCAAGTGAGGATGGCCTTGTGTTGATAGTTCATCTCCTTGGCAACTTGCTCTTTCCCCTGGGGTCCCGGGGGCAGCTGAGCAGGGCTAGGCAGGGGACAGAGCTGGTAGCAGCTGCATCTGTTGTGTTCGGTCTACAGATCAGTGCTGAGTAACCACAGAGAGGCATTCCAGTCTGTGTGTCAGAGAGGCCTCCCTTTCCTGAGGCAAGCCCTGGCTGGGGATGATGTCAGATGTGTCAGACTGGTTCCCACTGTCGCCTGTTGTTCCCAAGGCGGGATCCTGAGAGTCAGGCCAGCCGCTGTGGCTGCCTCATGGGAGGCCCTCTGCAGAGGCTCCGCCAATGTCAATGTCAATGGAGCCCTTAGACAGAGGGCCGGCCGATGCCAAGCACGGCTCGCTGGGATAGTGGCTTGGGGACACGTGCTCACATGAAGGTGTCCTCATCTCTGGAAACAAAGATCCCCTTCATGAGTCTGGGCTGGTCCAACCATTGCAGTGGGACCTTCCAGGGCTTTCTGTGGGCATGGAGTCCAGGCTGCCCTCTCAGGCATGGGTTTTCCACCCTGCAATAAGGGTCTGACCAGGCTAGTGGTACTTATTTATGCTGTCTGGGGAGATGAAGCCTATGGCCAGGGCCTTGTGTGGAACACCACTATTTCTGACCACCCCAAAGGCCTTCTGTTTGGCCTTCACACCAACTCTCCATGAAGGTGGTGTCTGGTTGGTTGCTGATGCTGTGACCAGAGCTCTGGCAAGTGTGGGTGCTGTGACTTACATGGTGTCCTGGCCATGAGAACTTCTTTCCTACTCCTGCCTCTGGACTCTGAGAGCACCCCTCTAGCTACCCTCAGCTGGGCAGTGTGCCCAGGCTCCCTGGAACCCATGCTGCTGTCCATAGAAGTAACTGGCCCACACTGGGAAGTTCTCCCTGTTCCTCATGTCATTGCCTCCCAGGAGCCAAGCTGCTCGAAGCTCAGGAGCTCGGGTCTCAATGTCACAGAGAGGAGGTATGTTTGAAGGGCACTGAGCGGGTATTCACGCACGGACGCCACAGCCAGAACTGCTCTTTGACTTCTTCCTCTTGGGACTCTGTCCACAGGCTCCTCTATCTGGCACCCGGCATGTCGACAAGCAGCCAGGACTGAAGATAAGAGCAAGGTTGGTGACGTTCGTGGTTTCCTGGTGTGTTCCCCACAGGCGGGGTAGAGGGGGAGATGCAGGCCAGCTACTCATGCTTCTCAGCCAGGCCTCAGAGGCTCGGGACAGAGGGCCACAAGGTGAGGGAGCAGACAGGCCAATGAGCCGCCATGCAGGTCTAATGGGGCCCCAAGGACACCAGATGGCCCAGCCTTGCCCACTTCCTGGTCCAGTCAGTGAACGCAGATGGCCATGACAGTTTGGGGAACCCAAATAGTCCCTATGGCCATCAGAACATGTGTGGCTCCAAATTGGGCCTGGGCTTGACAGTTCCCACACCTTCACTGATAGCTGGTCTTCCTGCCATAGGGTAAGTTCTTGAGGGCAGAATGGTCAGAACACACAATAAGTTCCAATGCAGAACTTCCACTGTCTTTTCCCTGTGGGGATGGGCATGTCACCCTCCTGCCCAGATGCTGGACAGGGCATGTGGAGCGCTGCCAACCAGGCAAGCTCTGCACTTGAGACTTCACTGGGGCTCTGGCACGGGAGGAGTGGGACCCACTGAGCCCACATGCCAGGTCAACTGATTCCCCTGCAACCGGAGGCTCTTGCCCTAGGGCACAGGTTGATCTTCCTAACCTGGCCACCCATATCCTGAGATGATCAGGTGCAGCCAGCCCTCCCTGAACACAGCTGCTGCTGGGATGAGATAAATATGACGGCCTCCCAGGAGCTGAGAGCAAAGGCCAGCCTCTAGGGAGGGAATGGGTTCTGAACCCCACAGATGCCCTGCTGTGTGCCAGGCACCAGGATTATGTTTTAGAGATGGGGAGACAATAGCCGCCCTGGATGGGAAGGAAGCACAGCATTCAGAGGGTGTGCTAGAGCCTGTACAGAGCTCGAACCCAGGTCCTGGGAGCCAAGCGGGAGTGATTTCCAGGGTGGTGCCTTCTTTCTTGGGTAGTTAAGGTGCAGAGCAGAGGGAGGAGGGGAAGAATGAAGAGGAGTGGGAGGAGGAGGGAGAAAAACAGGAGGAGGAAGTGATGGAGGAGACGGAGGACGAGGAAGGGGAGGAGCCCAAGGAGAAGGAGGAGGAAGTGAGGCTGTAACAGAAGCAGGGGGATGACAGGCAGCAGGGAGGAACACAGAGACCAGGGAGGCAGTGGCTAGCAGGATCCTCTCATCAGCCCTGCCTTAGGCTGTAAGGAGCTTATGCACCCCACCCCTGCATCTCCCCCACCCCCGCATCTCCCCTACCCCTGTGACTGGGCATCACTCTGCCTCATTGCACTGGCATCCTATTAAGTCTTTGCTGTGGCTTTCCAGGTAGGAGGCCAGTGAGCAACAGCCCATTGTATGCTCTGTTTTCACCCAATGGCTGGTTCTCTGCAAACTGTGTATCCGCCGCTCGGTCATGGTCTGTGGAGATGCGACCATAGAGCCTGACACCATCTCATCTGCAGGGTCCCCCGTGCTCCCCAACTGCTCAGCAGAAGGAGGGAGCCTGGCGTGCCCAGAGGCCCCTCACAGGTGCATGTGCTCGGGGAAGCCCCCTGACCTGAGACTGAGCAGAGCCAGGAAAGGGATCTGGTTCCCTGCTCTCCCCGCTTCTCCCAGTAAGGCTCAAGGACCGGGTAGGGTGGTCCAGGCCCCACACCAGCTGCAGGGGACAACAGCCTTCCTCATTTCCTCTGGTACCTGGCCAGATGGAAGGCCCTGAGGGATGGGTGCCACCAGACCAGGGAAGAAGGCAGCCTTGTTTTCCTGGGCCTGTGCAGGAGCGCTCAACGTCCAGGGCTCTCTGGTCGGTACAGTTATTGAAGCAAGTAGTTTAGCATGAAGGTTGTCTCCCTCAGCCAACATTTGGAGCAGAGCCTGGGCAGCCTGAGACCAGCTGCCTCCTTGGTGTTGAGCCCGGGCTCCCCAGGACTGGCTGCTGGCTGGTCTGGCCTGGGGTTAGAGGGGACAGACAGACTCCTGCCCTCTGTTGCTCCCCATGTGAGCAGCCCTTGAGTAAGTGAAGCCAGGCAGGCCTGGTTGGCTTAAGAGGACTCCTGTCCCTGAGGAACACAGCATGGAGGTGGCACCGGTGTTATTGACCCTTGAAACCTGCCACTGAGTGGAGGCAGCACCTCCTTTCTACACAGTAACAAGAAATGGCTTCCCTGTCGGGGGCTTAACAGCATAACAAGTGCCCCTTGGTACGGGCCCTTGGACATCTCCAGGACACTCAGGGACTCATTCTCCATTAAGACCTTGGCTCCTGATTGGTCTATCCATGCAAGGCCAGGCCAGCAGGAAGAAACACGGGCCTTCCTTGCTGTCTGGAAAGCCACCCCAATCCTGCAGCCGTCCCTCCTCCACCCAGGCAGGGAGTATGGTGTGGACAAAGACCCCAGGTTACATGGTCCTCCGCATCCGGAATAGGTGCAGTGGGCATCAGGAGATGCGGTCATGACTGCCCAGACCCACTGGCATCATGGCATCCTTAGCATAACACCCAATGCCCACTGGCATCATGGCATCCTTAGCATAACACCCAATGCCCACTGGCATCATGGCATCCTTAGCATAACACCCAATGCCCACTGGCATCATGGCATCCTTAGCATAACACCCAATGCCCACTGGCATCATGGCATCCTTAGCATAACAACACCCAATGCCCACTGGCATCATGGCATCCTTAGCATAACACCCAATGCCCACTGGCATCATGGCATCCTTAGCATAACACCCAATGCCCACTGGCATCATGGCATCCTTAGCATACCATCCAATGCCCACAGGCATCATGGCAACCTGTACAGCACCCGGCACCCACCATGTGTCTTAGAAATTCTGTATCTGGAACTGGGGAGGGGGCAGTGAATGAAGCGTGTGGACTCCTTCCAAGTGCCAGGTCTCATTCTTATCTCAGTGGGTGGGAACAAGGCCATGCCACATGGTCCTGGAGAACAAGGCAGTGAGTGCCACAAGCCCCTGGGGAGGGTGGCACTGAAGTTCACTGTGGGTCTTTGTGGAACAGACTTCAGGTCAGGGGTGGCAGAGGGGGGCAGGATAGTGCCCATCTCCTTACCCTGGTGACAGTCACCTCAGCTCTTCTCCCTGTCTCCTCTGCTGACAGCGAGTCAGGTTCTGTCCTCCGCCCTCCCCCACGTAGCTGGGCACTGAGTACAAGGAGGGCTCACATCCTCTCTGCTCAGAGTGGCTGGAGTCCAGGGCACAAAGAGAGCCGGGAATGGTCATCTCTGCCTGCTCTGTGGGGCTGGCTCAGATATTCCCCTGGCATGACCAGTAAGGGACTTTGCTCTGAATGCCACACAGGGCATACCAGGAACAACAGGCCCCTATCTGGGCACTTTGCCACTTTGCAGAGAAGGGGGACAGGCAGACATCATCCAGGGTCGATGGAGCACAGTAGCCGCCTGCCCTCTTAGTGCTAGAAGAGCAAGCCCTCAATTACAGGCATGAGGGGAGCACCTTCTCTGCATGTAGCACTTCTGAGGTATGTGGCTAAGGTCTGGACAGCCAGGTGATCCCATTCCTGTCAACCCCAGAAAGCTGTGGTCCCAGGGGTCAGGCAGGCCCCCCGAATTGGCACCTGTCAGTGTAGTCCCCAACTGAGGGGCTGAGGAAGTGAGGGTTCCAGGGGAGGCAGAGCTCAGTGCTGAGGGGTCCAGAGCCCAGGACCTGCAGAGGGGATGGCAGTGATCTGGAGAGCAAGCTTCACGCCATCCCTCCTCTCTCCCTTCTAGATGCACAGCTCTGTTTGCAGCCAGCCCTGCCCGGGCACCCTGCCCTGTGCCTTACAGGTTTGTGCCTCCTGCTGCCCTGTGTGGCACGTCTGGTCCTGGTGTCTGCCTGTCCCTGCTGGCGCCCTGCTGAGTGTAGGAGGAGCTCAGGAGGGGAGGCCTCCTCCAGGTCCGGCTTGGTTCATCTAGCCTGGAGGCTTCAACACTCTCCTGCCTCCCTGTGGCAGGGGTCAAAGCCAGAGGTGATGGCAGGCTGGTTCCTCCTGAGGTCTCTCTGCTTGAACGTGGTGGAAGCATCTTGTTTTCTTACATGCTTATCTGTGTGTGTGTGTGCATGCGTGTATGTGCATGTGTGTGTGTGTGTGTGTGTGTGTGTGTGTGTGTGTGTGTGTGTGTGCATGCGGTGTGTGTAGGTGTGTGTGTTCATGTTCTGAACTCCTTTTAGGATGACCCCAAGCAGATTGGTTTAGATCCACCCAGTGACCCATTTTACCTTTGTGACCTCTGTGAGGACCCCATCTTCACAGGGTCACACTCTGGGGTCCTGGGAGAGGGCTTCAACGTAGGAAGTTTAGGGAAACCAACTTGGACCTTAACAGATGTCAGCTGCCTCAGGGGAGGAACATGGCAGATTCCAGAGGCAAGGAAGAGCCTCCTGAGGAAAAGTGAGGCAGGGGTGTGGTGGTGTGGGTTACAGCGGAGGGCATGAGGCCAAGGGCAGGGGAGGCAGAGCTCTTTTCTTCTGAGAGGCAGTGGCAGCTGGTGGAAATATGTCCCTCTTAGATGAGCTAAGTAGGCCGGAGGAGAACGGGCATGGGGGGCCCTGGGCCAGGAGAAGGGGTGTAGAGTGGTCAGGTGCATGGGCCTTGCCTGTGAGGATGAAAGCCAGGTGTCAGGGGTGCAGGAAGTCTGTATGAGGGAGGAGAAGGAGAGCTAGCAATGCAGAGACACACAGAAGGAGGGCTGTGTGAGCAGGGCTGGGCACCGACAGCGGCAGAGACTGGGAGGAGCCTGGATGTGCAGTGACATCACACATCACCTGGTCCTGACTGAGCTGAGCCTAGGCCAGAGAGGAAGGAGTAGCTGAGAAGGGCCTGAGGGCCAGGTCAGCAGAGTGGAGGGTGAGGCCGGAGGACCAAAGCTCATCCGAGGAGAGGGACTAAATATCAATGAGCAGCAGAGGTTCCGGGAGCCATGGAGATCAAGGGGTTGCTAGACATGCCCACCTGCCTTCATCCTCAGAGACATATCACCTCACCCCAGCATCCCCTGGGACATTCTGAGCTTTCAGTGAGCGTCAGGTTGTGGACACCTTACCTCCCTTTACTTGTGGCCTGCTGTGCTTATTGTAGCCTTCGGTTGTTTACCCAAGCCTGTGTGTTCGTTCTGAGACTTCTCTCGGCCCACAAAAGGGTTTAAAATTCTACCTGCTGAGCGCACTGGCGTTCCTGCCTGCATCCTGGAGATGCTTCCAGAAGGTTCCCAACAGCGCCACTCCAGGTCAACCTGTACCACTCTGTTCTAGGAAACCAGGACTTCCTCGGAGAGCATTGTCTCTGTGCCTGCATCCAGCACGTCGGGGTCCCCAAGCCGTGTGATCTATGTAAGTGGGGGCCGTGGAGAGCGCCGCGGGAGTGGTGGTGGGGTTATCACTGGGCCAGGGCTGTGGGGACTGCGGTCTGTTAAGGATGGTCACTGGGGGCTCCAAGGGTGAGGCTGGGCCCTCAGCACAGCCTTAAGGAAGAAATGGATACAGAGTTGGAGAGTGACTCAAAGCCTGAGGCCTGGACACATCTGTGTGGCCGGGCAAAGCCCATAAGAATTTGTCCCCAACTGGTTGTTGATAAGAGAGAGACTATAGTGCACAGCTGTGGTCATAATATTACAGAAGGGGAATGGCTGGTTTATAGTTAAGAGTGAGCCAAGGCCACCTGAAGGAAGAATGTTGTGGGCCTGTAAGCCACTGTGCGGGCCTACGCTTATGCACAGAAGGCTCCTGCCCAACTCCCCAAGAGAAGTGCTCTGGGGATGCACAAGTATGTGTGTGTGTGTGTTTGTGTGTGTGTCCATGCGTGAGTGCCTGCATACGTGAGTGTGTGTGTGTGTGTGTGTACATACACAAGAGCACCCATGCATAAACAGTTGCCTCTGAGGGTAGGCTACAGACAGGAGGGTATTGGTGTCACAGTGCTTTGTGTGAGTGACAAGGCTTGTCATTAAGAGTCCTGAGGCACAGGGTGAAGGGCAGCCTAGTGGTGAGAGAAGCCCCAGGACTAGGGGGGTGCTGGGGAGGCAGGTGACAGGGGCAGGTAACTTCTACTATCCTCCCCTACACTGGCCAGGCCTTGGATCTTTGGCAGCATGGTAGGGAGATGAGGTTCTCCCTCCCCCACCTGTCTTTTCAGCCTACACTCTCCCATAATGGTTGGCAGGGGGGTCACTCTGATGGGCAGTAATAACAAGCATCTTTCCTGGGGTCACTGTGACCACAGTGCGGAGGGAGAGGGTACTAGAGCCCTTGGAGGACACTTGTGCTGAGTCCTCAGCCTGTGCCTGTGAGGGTCCGGAGTCTGGCTGTGTACCCTAGGCAAGACGTTTCCCCTTGTCAGCCTCTGGAAGCTCATCCATAAGCTGGCTGAATCCAACCCCACTGTCTAGGGCTCCCTGAGGCTTGGCATGTGAGGCTCCCAGTACAGCTCTGGACCCAGAGAAAGGACCGAGAGCATGCCATGGGCTTTGCATGCAAGATCAGGGACTGAGGCCTGGATAGAGAGACTTCTGGTCTCCCAGCTCTGGAGCCTAGAAGCCAAAGTCCAACCAGGGCAGGGCTTGTTCCTCCTGAGGCCTCTTTCCTTGGTTTGTAGATGGCATCTTCTCTCTGTCCTCACAGAGTATGTCTGTGTCCTGCTCATTTGTCCAGTATCAGAGGCAAGTAGCAAGCAGCAGCAGTTTTGAATGATCCATTTAACCACCTTAGAATCATCCATTTATCTGCCTTTTTCTTCCTTTCTCTTTTCCACTTCTTCCTTTCCTTCCTTGAGACAGGCTCCATGTAGCTCCCGGTCACCTCCAACTCCTTGTTTAGTCAAGCATAATCTTGACATTGTGCTCTTCCTGCCTCCGTGTCTTGAGCACTGGGATTCAGGTGTCACTATGGCTGGCATAGGCCGTTGCCAGGGATAGAATCCAGGGCTTTGTATATGCCAGGCAAGCCCCCTACTGGCTGAGTCATACTCCAGTCCCTGCCTGTTGTTTACACAAAATAACAGTGGTCAGCAGGAAGGGAACAACATTCCCCTCATTTTCGCTCCAGCGGAGCTCTGTAGCTGGGGGGCTCTGGGGACCGAGACCTGTGGTTACTTTTCTCACAATAAGTGCCGCTTATTTATTGTTCAGCAATGGCAAACCACAGTGAACAGTATTTTGGCGCCTCCTTCTGGTGGCATCCATGAGCATGAGGTGAAAGAACAGTCACTGTGTATTACCCTGGGCTGGAGCATGTACGTTTGCAGGGTCCTCCATGGTCATCTTTAATTTGCTTCATGGAGTGTGAAGAAGAAAGCAAAAAGGAAAACCACTTACACACACACACACACACACACACACACACACACACACACACACACACACCCAATAACCTTCACCGATTAGAAAGCTTAACCCATTGTCAGGGCAACCATCCAAGGCCTTTGCACAGAGAAAGTAACTCCACAAGGTATTTGGCAATCACTGCTTGCAGCAGGCAGCTGCTAGGCTCTCGGCGCCCGGGTAGTACAGGAGGCCGAGGAAAGAGTGAACCACCCAGGGCCAGGTGGCCTCCTATTCAAGCACTGTGGGCTGGGTGGAGATAGCCAGGAGCACAGGTGGGTTGGGAAGGACACATTGTTCCCAGTGACCTGGAGATGCAGGTCTCTGGATGCTCCACTGCAGCCTGCAGGACCCTCTGCAGAGCATTTAGTGAGAGGCTCCTGACAGTCCAGCAGTGCATGAAGCACAGTTGATGGTCCAGTGCTACAGTAGGAGACAGAGGCCAGGGTGCCCACCCAGTCTGTTCAGATGCCTGGTTGCTCGGCATTAGACAGAGGGTGGCAAAGCCAGTGGGTTCTGGACAACTCTAGTCCTGACCCAGGGATGTGGGAGAGGACATACAGTCCACCAAAAGTCAGCCCTCTGACCAAGAGAGAATCTGACCTGGATGGAAGAGAGACCTCCATGAGTGGGAATAACATGTGCAAAGCCCTCAGATGAAGGATGGGAACTGCAGGGGCCAAGCAGCAGGAAGTGTGGGATGGGGGCAGAGGAGACCAAGATCAACTGATGCTCAGGGAAAGATCCCCTGAGCTCCATTCATCCAGACAGCTAGAAAACCCCATTGGGATGGTCCACGGTGACCATGAACCCTGGCTTAAGATTTGACCTCAGATGTTCTGAGGCTTGCCCTGGGCTCCAGAAGGAACAGCCAGAGATATGAAGCACTAGACCTTCAGTCTTAGTACACATCTCTCTGCCAAACGTCCCCAGGGAGGCCTGGAGTGAGTCTAGTGGTCAGGAAGGTGGCCTAGAAGAGATGGGTGAGGGCTGCTGGGCTCTGGAGGGCCTGATAGGTTCTAGAAAGACAATAAGCAAAGATGTGGGTGGCCTGAGGTGGGAGATGCCTAGAGGTGTCAGCCAGAGAACCACTTGATGTAGCTGCAGCTTGAGAGATTTGCTGGGGGGCGGGGCCTACAGAAGGGAGTACCAATGGGGGAGGGTTCCAGAGTCATATAGCTGCCATGCCTTCCTTGGTGAGTGACTCTGGGCAAATTGCCCAAACTCTCTGAGCTTTAGACTCTGCATAAATGGGAGCACTGTGAGTGTCCCCATCACAGGGAGCTGTGACTTTCTGTGACTGAGGCAGCTCAGGATCTGCTGTGGCCGTTGAGGCTTTATCTCAGAATCCCAGCCGAGGAGTTCTGGCAAAGGCTGATGCAGAAATTAGACCTGAGAAGTGAGGGACTATCCCAGAGCTTGGCTGGGGGCTGGAAAGAACCAGAGCAAGGTGCTTCTAGAGCCAGAGCAGCTACATGGGACTACAGAGTGAGCATGGGCAGAGCGGGACACTGCCCAAGAAGGCTGGGCAGAATGAGCAGGAGCAACAGCAGCCAGGTGGACCTCACCTGAGCCAGCATGGTGCCTCACAGCATCTCACAGTCAGTGAGTACATGTGGGCCGCGTCCCAGCATCCTGTCAGATGCTGAGCAGGCATCTTGCTACTGTTCTGTACTTGTTCAAAACTGCCAAGAAGAGGCGGGGAGAATGAGAATGGATGCAGATGTGACTGTGTGTGCTCATTTGGTGAGGGTGGAGTTATGTGTGTGTGTGTGTGTGTGTGTGTGTGTGTGTGTGTGTGTGTGTGTGTATGTGTGCAAGTCTGTAGGAGCTGGTCTTGGTGTGCAAGTAGGTATGCCCATATGTGGGGATGTGTTGTGAATCAGCAGGTGTGTGTTATCATGTGGGAGTGGGTGTAGTTGGTACATCCCCTCATCACCTCAGAAAGGCACACTCTCTGTGTGTCCTGATGTGTGCAGGCATACCTGTATGTGTACTGATGTGAGTAGTGGATTGTGTGCATGTGTATCTGTGATGTATGTTCATGCTATATACCTGTAACCATGCGTGGTCTTAGGTCATAGCCTGAGTCTCGTTGTCCAGCCCTGCATCAATACTTTATGGGCACAGCCAACTACCTCGGTGTCTGACCTCAGGCTATGCCTGTGACCAGGTCTTTGGCCTTGCATCCTTGTCCCACCTCTGGTAGGGGCTGGGTGTGCTCAGACCCTGCTGGATCCCTGTAAGCCCAGGCTGTTGTCATGGCTGGTCATGGAGTGGCTCTGGCCTGGCATGTGGCATCAGTGTCCCCTCTTCTGCTCTCTCCTCCATCAGGCAAAGCTTGGCGATGAGATCCTGGACTACAGGGACTTGGCTGCTCTTCCCAAAAGCAAAGCGATCTATAACATTGACCGCCCTGACATGATCTCCTACTCACCCTACATCAGCCACTCGGCCATGGGGGACCGACAGAGCTATGGCGAGGTATGGATCTTCACTGTGTGTTGCATGCTTCCCCAACTGCTGACTCTTGTGGACACAGTTAGTCATTGCCACCACCCTCAGCTTCTTCACCCCCAGATAACATGTCCATCTTATTCCCACTCAACCATGCCCCCTCAGGGAAGTGAGTCCAAGAGTGGATTGGAGGAGAGCAGAGTTGGGGAAAGGGAAACACACTCTAAAGATGTCTGCATTTTCCTGGCTACTGAGTATTTTCATGACACATGAAGTGTGTCGTCTTCCTTTGAGCCCATATTCCTAGGCCAGCTCCTCTTCTATGGGTTCCTTGAGCCTATCCCTAGGCTGTTTGAACGGCGTGGGTCATGATTCTCAGTGTTCCTGAAAGTAGACAGCATCTATTGGTGATGTCTGAAAGTAGACAGCATCCAGTGGTGATGTCTGAAAGTAGACAGCATCTAGTGGTGATGTCTGAAAGTAGACAGCATCTATTGGTGATATCTGAAAGTAGGCAACATCTAGTGGTGATGTCTGAAAGTAGGCAGCATCTAATGGTGATGTCTGAAAGTAGACAGCATCTAGTGGTGATGTCTGAAAGTAGACAGCATCTAGTGGTGATGTCTGATAGTAGGCAGCATCCAGTGGTGATGTCTGAAAGTAGACAGCATCTAGTGGTGATGTCTGATAGTAGGCATCATCTAGTGGTGATATCTGAAAGTAGGCAGCATCTAGTGGTGATGTCTGAAAGTAGACAGCATCCAGTGGTGATGTCTGAAAGTAGACAGCATCTAGTGGTGATGTCTGAAAGTAGACAGCATCTAGTGGTGATGTCTGATAGTAGGCAGCATCTAGTGGTGATGTCTGAAAGTAGACAGCATCTAGTGGTGATGTCTGAAAGTAGATAGCATCTAGTGGTGATTTCTTATTCAGACCTCCTGTTTTCATTGAATGCCGCAGCGTTCCTATTGAGTCTCATTTTCCTTCTGTCAGGAGGTCTTAGTGTGGCTTTGGCTGTGTGTGGAGCTCAGAACAGATGATCACCTGGAGCAGAAAAATGGTTATTCCTGACATGTGCCCCTTTGACTCCTTTCTGTGACTCCAGCAAGGCCTCATGGGGAGTGAGGGCCAAGACCTGGGGTATTGTACATACGTAGTAGTGTTGAGTTGCCCAACTTGGCCCTGCATAGGTCACAACTGCCAGACAAGCCTGCAGGCTCTGAGGGCCACTCATGGACCGAGAAGAGCAAAGGGCAAAAGGACCAGCAGGTGGCCCTCCTGGTGTGCATGCCTGAGGAAGGGGGTCACCAGCCTTGTGGCTACTGCACTGCCCACCATGTGCCTGAGCTGGGTGTGGGCTTCACCATCCCACATCTAACCTTTGGGCAGCAGACAACTGAAGAAGGTCAGAGACCAAGCAACTTGACTGTACCCTTGAGATCCAAAGCTTTTCTCCCCTACAGACCATTCACTGACTGTTTCATTGGCCAATCCTCGGGGACATGGAACTCAGGCCTCAGAGCTGGGTTCAAGTCCCACTGTACTCAGTCTCAGGATGCCACTGGGGATCTTCCTGAATGGAGTGTTGGCATTCCTGCACTGAATTCAGGAAGCCGTGGTGGGAAGGGCTGCTTGTGACCCACAGATAGTCCTGACTTAAGAGTTTGTCTCTCAGAGGGCAATGGGACAGCATGTATGTGACTCAGGAGTCACCCTCTCCAGTATCTGCTCAGCCACAAGCTTGAACCTTCTGATTATACTGACCGTGAGACCTGCCTCGGCAGAGATCAGTACCAGGCTGTCCTGAAGGAAGGAACGGGTGTTCGCACTAAAATGCCACTTCCAGGATGGTGCGTGGTGAGGCAACATAACATAGAAAACCTCAGTCAGGGCTCTTGTTGGGTACATTACACACAGACTATCCAATGGCTTCGTTACGGCCTCACTGCCTCATCCCTCTGGACCAGTCTCATGAGCAGAATTCTTGTTTCTGTCTCTGCACCAGCCACAGCCCCTGGGAAGGATTTCTCCCAGTTGTACCTAAAAAAGCCAAGTGAGGCTCAGCTAGGATTCACCTGGGCCCAGGTAAACTGGCTTGGGATCCTGTTCTCTGGGTGCCCTGAAGGAGGTGTAAGAGCCGTTCTTCTGGAGAGGAGCCATTCGCTAGAAACATAAGGACTGGAGCCGCCTCTCTGAACCTCTGTCTCCCTGCTCTCTCCCAGTCCATGGCCCTAGCCACATGTAGACGAATTTCTAAACAGCCTTATTAAAAAAAAACAAAACAAAACCTGGAGCCAGAAATTGGGGTTAAAGCTGAGAAATCAGAGGAGCAGGACAAGCCACAAGCCAACCTCACCTCACTGACCCTCTCCTTCCAAAGAGACCTACTTCCTGTATACCCATGCCTATATTCCTTTTTATTCTGCTAATTCATTTCATTGCCTCTCTGCCCAGCTACATCACTTCCTCTTCCTGCCCAGCTCTGTCACTTCCTGTCTGTCTCTACAGACTTCCAGACCTTTATGGTTAACTAGTGTTGAAATTTAAGGCATGTGCCACCACTCCTGGCTCTGTTCCCAGTGTGGCCTTGAACTCACAGAGATCCAGACAGATCCCTGCCTCCCGCGTGATAGGATTAAAGGCATATGCTACCATTGCCTGACTTCTATGTTTACTCTAGTGGCTGGCTTTTTCCTCTGATCCTCAGATAAACTTCACTGGGAGACACAGATAAACTATCACCACGGCCACCCCCCTTCTGCTGTCTCCCACCCCATCTGTCCTCTCCAGAGAAAACGAAAGGGATGAGTCCAGTGGGTGTTGCCACATTGGTCCCTGAACCACCAACAGCTTGTTTGTGACCTCATGGTCTCTGTGGAGAGTAAGGATGGGATCACGTGGGCTGAGTGGAGGAAGGCGCTGGGCCAAGCAGCACCAAGCCGTCTCTTGTGGTGGGGCTCTTTCTCAGCTAGAGTCTCAGGTCACTGAATGTGGGTCCTGTGTGTCCTGTGGCTACCAAACGGCCCTCTTACCCCAAAGCAACCCCTGGCACAGCGCACTAACAGACGGCTCTGTTGTGTCCACAGTCGCCTCAGTTGCTCTCACCAACGCCGACTGAGGTAACCACCACCTATGCCTGCGCCCTGTGTGCTCATGGTGCTACCACCTGCAGGGTTATAGAGATGACCAGCATGGCACCCTGAGGGCCACAGGGCCCTGGCCACATCACTGGGGCGCCCCCCTCCTGCTGGTTGTTTTTATAATCGCATCTCATCTGCATGTTGCCCTCGTGTGTGTGCAGACAGGTCTTCACCGACACTGGGGATGTGGTGTTGCCCAGCAGCTCCTGGCCTGGGTCATGACTTCCTTGGGTGAGCTGAGGTCCACTTCTTGTCCCCTATTAGATATACAGGAAGTTCTGGGAGGTGGAGCACTCTCTGAGGGCTGAGCTATCAAATAAGCTCTATAGCACCCCCACGGCTTCTTCTTTCTTCAGAAGCAGTGCAGATTGTGGCCCCTCAGAGGCTAGTCTGTGTGGCCCCGCCCAGGGCTGGGGAGGGCATAGAGGCACAATGCACTTTTGAGTTCTCTCTCTGTGCTGGACACTGCTGCATTCTTCTTATACCCAATTCCTTTCCCCGGAACATCACCCAGAGGTAGCTTCCAGGAGTTCCCCATTTTACCAATGGAGAAACTAGGACCCAGATGTAACTGGGGCCATTTGCTTCCTGCCCTCCCCATCCTTGGGGAGCGTCCCATTCCAGCCCACAGAGCTGGTCCCAAGAGTGAGGATCTCCTCGTCATCTCAAATTGAGGAATGCTTTTTGCTTCCTGTAACTTTAGAAACAGGATCTATGGCAAGAGCCCCTGCCTGTACCTCCACTACCTCCTTAGCCTGTCTTCTTAGAAACCATGCCTTGGGCACTGTGGGGACCTTGGAGTTGAGGTGAGGCAAGGAGGGCTGGCATGACCCAGGCCACCAGGCTTCATTGCCGAGGGATGGGCAGTCTGATTCTCGAACCACGGTGCCATGCCATCTCATGCTGCTGTCGCCTGCTCTGGCTGCTCTCAGAAGGTCCTCTTCCTGCTAAGATAGGGGCTGTGTCATCAGCGCTTGTGGGTCTCGTTGGCTGGCTTCTGGGCCCCAGAGGGCACCTCCGCACCTCAGAAGGGGCCCCAGAGCATCTCGCGCCTCTCACGTGTGAGGAGCGTTCAGTGTTTTCAAACTGATCCAGGAGTCTAGAGTGCTGGGAAGGGTTAAGAGGAAGAATGCAGGTAGGGTCCTTTCACCCATCCCAGAGGGTCAGATGGACAGGAAGGGTGGATATTCAATGGGCCCATGGTCAGGCCAAGGGGCTTGTTATGGCTCAGACCTACCTCGCTGTCCAGATGTGCTCTGTTTGTGCTCTGAGACCCTATTTTGGGACTGTGTTGTTTCTGCCCCTGGGATCTAGAGGGCAAATACAGTGGGGTAGGTGAAGGGCGAGCAAGTGCTCTCCTGACCCGGGTGCTCTCGCGCTGTCTTCCCACCCAGGGGGATCAGGATGATCGGTCCTGCAAGCAGTGCCGGACCTCCAGCCCCAGCTCTGCTGGCTCCGTCAGCCTCGGCCACTACACCCCAACATCACGGTCGCCCCAGCACTACAGTCGCCCAGGTATTCATCCCCCCCCACCCTGCTCCCCTTGACTCCGATGAAGCTGTGGTTCTCAATGAGTTTGCCGATATAAAGTAGCTTCTTTGCTCATTGAGGAAAGTGGTGAAGTTGGGGGTGGGGGAATGCCGGTGGGTGGTCAATGGACAGTCCCTTAGTATAATGAATAGGACTGCCTCATGCCTAGGGGCAGGTAGCTGTGAGGCAGCTGGTCACCCTGGGGCTAGAGGAGCTGTCTGCATCCACAGTGCACATCCTGAGAAGCATGCAGCCCCGAGGTCCACACAGAACAACCGGAGTGGGCTTCTGGGGGTAGTCATAGAGCTGTCAGGATATGGAATAGCACCTGAGGCAGGACACCAAGCCACAGCCTGCTGTGAGCCCACAGAAGTTCGAGGACTTGAGCTGAGGAGTCAAAGTCAGTGGCTACAACACCACCCAGTCAGAACGTCTAATGCTGTACCTATCCCTCAGTAACCCTAGAGACAGCCATCCTAATAAAGAAGCTGGCAAAAGGCCCCTATGTCCTTCCAAGCTGGGAGAGAACCCTGTGCAGGGCTTCCGATCCTGTTGCCTCATTCTCCCCCCACCCCCCCCCCCACCCCAGTTTGCATTGTCTTCCTCAGCTTTGAGCTGGCATGTGACAGCCACAGGGACCATGCACAAAAGCGATGCCTTTTGGAGGGATTTTTCCAGCTGCTTCTTCCCTTCCAGCTGTGCATGACCCATTTCCACACCCGTGGACCATAGCTCTTATTTTTGAAAACTTTATGGAAAAATCAACTTAATTGTTTGTAATCATTTCATTGATTCCTTGCAATACGCCTGGTCCATCCTGCTCAGCAAGTGTGAAGAAAGAGGGTGGGTGAGTGTGTACAGGAGAGAGTGAGTGAGTGGGCTAGTGGAGGAGTAAGTGAATGCGTGAGGGAATGAGAATGAGCCAATGAATGGGTGAGTGAGTGAGCGAGTGAGTGAATGAATGAATGAATGAGTGAGTGAGTATCTGAATGAGTGGGCTAGTGGATGTGCAACTGAGTGAGGGAAGGAGTGGGTGAACCAGTGAATTAGTGAGGGAATGAGTGAGTTAATGAATGAGCTAATGAGTTAGTCAGTGAGTAAATGAGAGAATGGTTGAGTGGATGAGTAAGTAAATGAATGGTTAGTGTATACATAAGTGAGTGAATTGAGTGAATGAGTGAGCGAATTGGTGAGTGAATGAATGAATGAGTGAATGATTGAGTAAATGAATGGAGATATGTGAGAGGGTGAGTGAGAAAATGAACAGATGAGTAGGTGTGTGGATAGAAGTGACTTTCTTGAGCCCTTCCCCTAAGGCCCCTTGTGACTTGACCTCTGACTTCGCATCACCAAGAGGGCCTGACTACTGACTGCTTGGTCAGGGGTAAAGCCTACAGGGGCAAGCTTTCTATCTGGACTGTCAAGTGCCATGAGGATGCTGGTGACAGACCACTCCCTGACCTCTGGAAGCTGCCCTCCCACCGTCCTTGATCCCAAGGACACCCCAAAGTGAGCCACAGGCAGGACCAGAGGCTGTGTCCCAAGCCCTGGCTGCCACCCTGTGTCCCAGCAGCATCTCCTGACCCCACCTGGAGGAGAATGGCCCACAGCCTGCTGGGTAACCCTCTTCAGGTGCCCCAGGAGAGCAGAGGGACAATGTCCTTGGCCAAGTGGGGACTAGGACAAGTTGGTGGCTCTGGGGTGGAGGAGCCCAGGGTTACTGACTGCTCTCTGTTGCCCGCAGCTGGTACTGTGAGTGTTGGTACCAGTAGCTGTCTGTCCCTGTCCCAACACCCAAGCCCTACATCCGTGTTCAGACATCATTACATCCCCTACTTCCGAGGTAAGGCGTGCGGTGCACAGCGGGGGGTGCTCGTCCCATGTCTCAGCATGGCTTCCAGAGCCCTGTGTCTCATGCCTGTGTTCTTCCTGTGCTGTGTGTGTCTGGCTGTATTTCGTCAGTGTGTCCATGTTCCTGGAAGGAGAGCAGGGTGCTTTGTCACTAAAAGTGCAGCTGGAGGGAGCATGTCAGTGAACACCTTGCTCCATGCTTAGGGCTTCAGTGGAGTGGTCATGCACATTTCCCCATCAAGCCTGTGGGGTGGGGTGCTGTCAGTGTCAGCCTTCGGGAGCAGGAGCTGAGGTGTGGAGAGGTGGTGATGTCCACAGCCTCAGACCCCTGGTGGCTGGGCCAGGACTCAACCCACGTGGCTCCAACCACTGGCTCTTTCCAGGATGCAGAATCAGTCATGATCCATGTCCTGTAGATCTATACACATGAATTCCATGGGGGCAGGGTGGACACCCTTGTGAGTTCCTCCACGCTAAGAACTAAATTGTGTATACCCCAAGTTCACATATTGATGGCCAAACCTCTGTATCGCAGTGTTTGAAGAAACAAAGGAAAGGCAGTACTAGAGGTTGAGGTCACAAGGCAGGACTCTTCATCCACTGGGACTGGTGGTCTTGCAAGGTGAAGAGGCGGCCCTGGGCAATGCCCACACATTTAAGATCAGTGGAGAGACCATCAACGAGCCAGGAGGAAATACCACCAAAATAAAACAAAACAACAACAACAGCAGCACGAAAAACTCACTCCTGGGCTTTGCTCATGGCTCCAGAAGTGTGATAAAATGAGAGGCTAAAATTGACGTAGGCCCTGAGCTGTGAGTTTTGTTACACAGCCCAGCTGATAAAGACACCAACAAATGACATCTAGGGAATTAGAAAACATAGCAGAGATTTCCTCCAGAGTCCCTGGGTGATATAGTAAGTTTCCTGTCTCTTACAGCCATACAATGGGTACCCATGGAAAGCTCCTTCCCACAGGGTGCAGCCACAGCTGACGGCTCCCATCACTAGCAGTCAGTAAATGGCCTACTCTCCTTCATCCTCTTACCCCTGGCTCGCTCTTGGTCCACTGAGAAGAGCCCTGGGCGCTCTCGTGTCTTCCCTGACCCTTCATGGGCTCTCTACACATCTAGCAGGGATGATATTTCCAGGGAAGATGTACAGCCCCAAATGGCGCACCCCCAGAGCAGCACAGTGGCTTCTGGGGCCTTGATACATGTGTATTATAGGTCCGTGGGAGGCTCAGAGTGAGGGGTGCTCCTGGAACCTGGAGGGAGCCTGACTACTCTGGGGAGTCAGACAGGCTGTATAGTCGGATGTCTTTCTACCCTTTGCTCAATGACCCTGGGCACAATTTTCCTTCCATTTGTGGGGCCCTGCCTTTGGTGGGTCTGTTATACCTCTGGGTCCCTGGTCAGCCTGTGACCAAAGACAAGGGCACATTCTGGACATTGGCTGTTGCTGCTCCTCTCCTTAATGGGGTGGAGCAGGAACCCACAACTCTGCCCTCCGATTGACTTCCATGGGAGCCTGTGACCTTGGGCTCTCCAGTGTCTTTCCAGCACATTCCTTGAGGAGGTAGATGAAGAGGTACAGACCCTGAGATCCTCATGAAGATCATCCTGTTCCTAGCCTCTGGGCACCCAGCTTATCCCTGTCCACAGGACACAGCCACAGCCATGGCATCACCCCAGTCTCTGGAAAATTCTTTCTTTCCCCCACGGGTGCTTTGCAGTATTTGGGACACAGTAGAGTGATGCTGGGTGAGGGCCCTCAAGGTAGACATGCCAGCACTCTCCTGACCTAGCTATATAGTGGAGGGGCCCCTCACTCCTTCCCTCTTTGGACCTACCACCCAGGGCAGACATCACACCCTTCTACTGTGTCTCAGTGCCTAGGGCCTCACTGCCCCAAGACCTACAGTCAGGTAAAGGGCTAGTGAAAGTTATTGGCACATTGGTGTGAACTGCAGACCTCTGTTGGGGTGGTGTAAGGTTTAAACCCAACTCTTACTTGATGGGGACAGGCTGTAAGGACAGGAGATGGAGATTGACAAGGGGATGCTATGCTGGTGAAGCCGCTTTTCTGGGATCTGGAGAGACTTCCACAGCATTAATGGCATGAGAAGGAAGGGAGGCAGACGATCTTTGGGGCAGAACCTCAGGTCAAAATCCAAGCATGCACTGTGCCCAGCAGGTGGTTTTCATTTTGCCAAAGGTCCCCTCCCTCAGCTCTAAAACAGGTCCCTAAGCCCTGGTCCCTCAACCTCAGGATCTGTGGTCCATGCCTCAGAGGAGGCTCCAGGTAAAAACTACACATGCCTTGGCTATGGTCCTCAAAAGGCCCTGACACATGCTTGTGAACCAGACTTGCTCTGATGTGACTTTGGGGAAGTTCAGCCAGAGGCAATGACAGCATCTTGGCCATTGCCAACTACAGCATCTTCAAGGTCAGAGTCAGCTGTCGCCATAGCAACCACAGTTGGAGCAAGAAAATAAATGATGAGTCACTGGACTCATGAATGACACAGTGTCCACACATCTATACTGAAAAGACTAGCTGAATAAAAACATGGGGGAACAATGTCTGCACAGAATTTGTGCAGGTAGTGGGTCACAGAGGTAGGCAGGACTCTCTCCACTGCATAGCCAAGTACAGACTAAGATCTTGAGCTGCACCACCCCCAGGCAAGGCCGTAGCACCAACTCCAGGTTCTGCAGACAGCAAGTACCCTGGGGGAGATGTGACAGGGATGACATGCCACCTCTGTGCTTTCCTCCTCAATCCATAACCCCTGTTTCTCACAGTCCCAGGTGAGGGACGTTCTATAGCACCCCTGCCCCCTCCGGTGTTCTAGGAACTGTCAGGATCTGTGACAAGGGATGCTGGTCACAGCTGGGAGAAGTCAAGATGTGACCGTGGGGATAGTGTGATGTCATGGGTGGGTCCTGAGACAGAAAAGATCTCAAGTAAAAGTGGGTGAAATTCCAAGTCTAGTTAGCATGACACAATGGCTCCAGGTCCGGAGGGATGTCAGGAGTCAGAAGTGGGCCCTAGGTGAGGAGAGTGGTGCCTTCTGGAACCATCTAAAACCACTCCAAAGCAAACACATTGACTTAAACTGAAGGAAGTCACGGGCCACACCAGAGCCTGGGCTGCCCAGTCCTGTACAGGGCCCTTCCCTGGAAAGTGTCAGAAACACCCTGGATATGAAGCCTTCAAAAAGAGCCATGAGACTGGACAAAGGAGCCTCCATGCCTGTCCTTGGGTGACATCAGGGGCCTGGGGACTTTATCACAGAGGCCCAGTGGAAAAGTGGGCTTCCAAGTAGTCAGTGTGCCCAGCTCACATAGCATAGTCCCTTGCCCTCCTCAGGAGGTGACAGAGATGGTGCCCACTGTGCGGCACTGACATGGGCATACCGTAAAAGCACACAGCAAAGCTCCAGGCAGGTCTGTGGGGTTGAGGTCAGCAGGATGCTTTCTCAGCCTCATGAGACAGGAAGGCATGCTTGCAGAAAAGGAAACGGCCCATGGTGGCCTTGGCCTCCTGAGGGTTTTGTCAGCCAGGCAGAATCCTGAGTCTGAACCCAGGAAGTTCTAGACAGTATGGAGCCTGGGAAGGGCAGGGAGGACTTGGTGGTAGTGTTCCAGGCAGGGACCAAGGTGGCCGGTGTTGAAGGCTCCTTTGGTAAATGTGACAGGTCCTCGTGGATTATCAAGGCTACCACACTGTGCCTCAGCTCCCTTAGCCTTGGCCCCCCTGAACAACTGAGAAACGGTAGCCCCCCTCCTTCAGTGAGTGCACACATGTGTAGGAATCTCATTTATCATTTCAGAGACCATCACACTACAGGCCAAGCTCTGGAGAGGACAGGAATGTTGGACCATTTTAGAATCCTCAGTCAGCTGGGTGAGGGTAACAGAAATGACCGTGAAGTCTAGATAGAAGAAAGAAAGGCCTGGTCATGTGAGGCTCTAGGCTCAACGAGACCAAGCCACAGAGGCTCAGCGCAGGGATGACAGTCAGTAGGGACAGTCTTCAGCCAGGGTGGATTGCGTAGTTATGTTTTCAAATCCGCTATGTCTGTCATGACTGAAGTGACGTGTGGAGTCATGGCATCATGTATAGAAGGAGCCTGTGGTTCCCATCTTCCTGGGGTGAGGCCCCTGCTACCACTAGGAAGAACAGAAGCTCGGTGGATGCAGCCAGTCAGCAGGCTCTCTATACAGTTCTAGAACAGAGCCTTTTAGTTTTCCAAAGCTCCGTCAGTGTTTGCAGGTGAAATCAGTGACCATGCTCAGGGAGGAGAAGACATCCCAAGTAGGAATCCTCAGTCTCCTTTGGTGGCCACCCATTGGGCCCTCCTCCAGCCAGGCCCTCCCTGCCTGTCTGTGATACTCCTGTTGTCTCCAGTCCATCCAGGCCTGGCTTCTGTCCCATTGGCTTTAGGGTCCTGCTGCTTGATCTTGCCATTCAAAGGCATAGTTCTCCAACCTTGTGAGCCCTTTCCCTGCTAGGCGACTGGCTACTGCCCTGCAGAGTTCCCCACGTCTAATGGAAGGGAACAGTTGTACCTTGAGGTGTCCTGCTGTGAGCCGTGCTCCTCATCACATGTCCAGTACCACTGTGTTCTATCCATCACATCCTGCGTTGGTGGGAGGCGGGGCATCTACCCAGGTCTCCAGGTGTCTGGAGGGTGGTTTGACCATCCAGTCTCCCTCACAGAACACAAGACATAGCTCCAGCTAAGGCAGAAGTTGGAAGCAGCCGAGTACCCTTCGCACTTTGCTTGCCAGAAACAGCTTGTATCTAGGACTGTGCAAGTTGATGGATGTTGAAACAGCTTGTATCTAGGACTGTGCAAGTTGATGGATGTTGATCCCTAGTCTCCTACATGGGCAGAGTGTTTGTGAGGGATGCTTTTTGACTCATTCCCACACCTTAGTCCTGTTCCCACTGGTAATTGGTAGAATCCCTAAGCAGGCAGGACCTTCCTGAGCAAGCTCCATCAGGGAGGCAGGGCCTGAGCCTGCGGTGTGTGTACACACCCCAGGATCCTGAGCTCTGCCCACTGCCCATGCACTAAAATGCCTTTGGCCCTCCAATCATTGCCCCTTCATCCCTTCCACCTGCTTGAGCCAGGGACACTGCAGGTTGGGACAGACGGCATAGAGCCCAGGCTGGAAGACTCAGGTGCGGGCTTCCTTCAGGCAGGACAGAGGGGGTTGACTGCAGACCGGATCTTCTTGCCTGAAACCCTATGCTTTGCTTTCTTGCCCCTCATCTGCTGCCTCTGCTCTTCCATCTGGAGGCAGCGAAAGTGGCCGTAGCACCCCAAGTCTCTCGGTGCTCTCCGACAGCAGGCCTCCTTCCTCTACCTATCAGCAGGCGCCGCGCCACTTCCACGTCCCAGGTAGGTCCCTGTGTGCTTGCTCTTCATGCACCATTGCGGCCACACCCGAGTTGTTAGAGCATCCCCAAACACAGAGTTTCCTTAAAAGTTACTCCGTGCAGTAGGGTGTCGTGGTGTATGCCAGTTATTTCAGCATTGAGGAGGTAGAGGCAGGAGGATCACAAGTTCAAGGCCAACCTGGACTAGAAAACACGGTTCTGCTAGGTGGTGCCGCACACCTTTAATCCCAGCACGCGGGAGGCAGAGGTAGGTGTATCTCTCTGAGTTCGAGGCCAGTCTGGTCTACAGAGTGAGTTCCAGGACAGCCAGGGCTGTTACACAGAGAAACCCTGTCTCAAAAAATAATAACCAAATTAAAACAAAACAAAACAAAAAGATCCTATCCCCAAAGAAACAATACAAAACCCTAATGCAATGGGTTTGCATGTCCCCCCCCCCCCCAACTGACATATCTTTGGATTTTTTTCCCCCAAGTTCACAAATACCGAGAAACGTTTTTTGTTCTGGGTCAAGGTGGAGAAAAGGGGCTGGGTTAGCTGCACCCCCCTGTGACCCAAGGTCCTTGCTTGCCACCTTCCCTGTCCACCTCTCTCCCTGTCCCCTTCCCATCTGAGGTGGTGTCTGGACTAGGGGATGCTTGATGGAGGTGTGGGGCTTCAGCCTACTTGCTGTGTTTGAACCTTTCTGGTGATTCCAGGCTGGGTGAGCCAGGAGCTGACAGAAGCCATTGGGTGGAGAGCATTGCGGCCGCTTCCCCACTTCCCCTCACGTTCTCTCCTTCTCTTTCCTTCTTCTTCCCAGACACTGGAGTAAAAGATAACATCTATAGGAAACCCCCTATCTACAAACAGCACGGTATGGTTGGTCTGACGGACTCTGCTGGCTACTGTGCTTGGTCTGCATGCCTGTTGCCCCCTCCCTCTTCGGAATGCTCCCCTTGCTGTCCTGACCCCAGGCTCCGGGGGGGCCCTGCTGGCTGAACGTTAAATGCACACTCACTAGTAGGCTCCAGGGAGGTCTCTCTTCACAAGAGAGGAGACATACAGAGAGGCTAACGCATGGCACCTGGGGCTGGGGTGCGTCTGCTAGAATTAAGAACCTTTATTTTGTGTTTTTGATGCCCCAGCCGAGATGGTAGCCGAGATGGTGTGGGACTGGGGGTTTCTCACCCATGCCTCACACAGGCTTGGTCTTTGGAAAATAGTGACTTGGAAACAGCCACAATTTAGGGCAACTTTAGGATCCATCTTTTGAGAGTATCTATGATAGAATGGGATGCCTTGACCTCAGCTAATGGGGTTCCTTGCATTGTGTAGGAGCTAGAGATGGTTGGCAGCAAGGGTGTCTCTGTCCCTCTGACCCCCACGTCTTCTCCACATGAACCTACCTGGGACAGATGTACAAGGAGAAGATTGCTTGGGCTGTGGAGCCGGACTCTAAAGGGTCAGACTTGGGATTTCTGGGTAACTGGGGCAGGTCAGCTCAGCACCATGAGCCTTGGTTTCCTCGTCTGTGAACCAGACTCCTTTCCCACTGTGTCTTCTACCTCCTCCCCTCCATTTCCTCCCCCTTCGCCTCCTCATTCCTCCAGGGTCGGGCATGAGATGCTCCCAGAACAATGAACGTGGAGACTGTAAAGGGCTGTGCACAATGTGGAGACTGTTATGTCACCACTAGAGATGGGAGGGTAGAGACGTTCCCATATGGACAGCTCTTTCTCAGACGTGTCCAAGGAAAGCAGCCCCTTCCCACACTGACAGGCGGTGGCCAGCTTGTCGGAGGCCTGCTGTGTCAGTGCGGGCGAGAGGCCCTTGGGTCTCTCCTCCTCCTCTCAGAAGGAAAGAAGGGAATTGAAGTTCTGGTTTCCAGCATCCAA